ATTTTACATCTTTTATATCCCATACGTCCTATACTTAACATTAATAGTTTGGGAGATAATTAGGGTATTTTAAGAAATGCACACATATCATATTGATGCATAGTGTGCATAATAACTTGCAGATTGTTTAATGAAAACTATCCACATTAACCACATTCCGATGACAAAAGGTAAATTTAGAAGAATGGAAACAACATTTTTGCAATTTTGGATTAATCACATGTTTAACCGACTGGATGTTTAAAATTTTTGAAGCCAATTCTAATGACTCAATTCGAGGTGGGAATCAGTAGGTGTTCAGTGCAGAGGATCTTGAAGAAATATTAGTTCCACGAGTACAAGTTTTCGTTAGTGTAAGACCTTCATCCTCAAAATCCCGACAACCAACTGAACTTGTGTGAAATTCGCTATTAAGAGGATGAACACTTTTTGAAAAAAGTTATATGGACAATTTGGGCTTCCGTCAACCCGCATGCAATCCGAAAAACAAACTATGAGGTTAGGTTTAGTTTCAACGTTTTTGCCTTATGATGGAAGGCAGGTTCTCTTACGTCATTTATGACGGTGTTTGACGGCAGAACGTTACCTGAATTTTTACGTACTGTATAACTTCTCTTGGTACTTGATAAGAAGCTGTTAGTATTAACTAGATGGAGGTCCGGCTCATTGCACCCAAGAAATATCCTAGGAACTCACCTCTCAATGTTCGAAGACAGGTGGCTAAGACGGTTAGGACATGGAAGCACATGGACAGTCTCTTTCCTCAAGATGTACAAAGAGGCGGACGGCTACCATTTCAAACATTTATTGTAACTTGTTTCTAGCTTTTTATATGATATACATATATATCTTGGTCACACTATTAAAATTGTCAAAGAAAATCAACCAGCTGAAATAAAGTGATCGTTTGGAAATCTCAGTTTTATGCTGAAAAACAAAGAAATACCGAAACGCCTAAAATGAAAGGTGTATGACAACTGCATATTGCCGGTGACTTGAAATCATGGCTTTCACAAGGAAGGTTGCAGAAACTTAATGTAACCCAAAAAGAGATAAAACGAGCAAGCTGGAAGATTCGAAATAACGATTTCGCAGAATAATCCAAGTGACAGATGTTATGAGTCGAGTAGTAAGGATTAATTGGAATAACCTTTTAGAGACCACGAGAAGCTAGAAGAGGTGGATGGATGATGTGAAGGGTGTGGTGGGGAAAAAATGGATAAGAACAGCTAAAAGCAGAGTCTATGTCCAGCAGTGGATGAATACAGGCTGAGGAAAAAGAATCATAAAATAATTCATAACAACTACACCTAAACAGTTATATTTATTATATTTTTACCAGTTTTATTACCTAAATAGTGACATCCTCAGGAATTTTTCGTTGAAATTTTAAACATATAAAATGTAAAATCATGGTGATAAGATTTAATAAATAAAAAAAAATTAATTTATATTTTAAATCTTAATCTTTTTTCTTCGGTAGTACCTAAGTAGACGTTTATTATAAAAGAAAATTTATGATCCCTTCAATTCGAAAATATGTAAGTACTAAAAAATCCGGTAGTAATAAATCTCAAATCGTGAAGGGGGTCAGTTTTCTTGTCCCCTAGGTCCCCACGGGGTGGAACCGCGGACTACAAATTGAATTTATTGTAGCGTATAAATAACGAGTGCCGTCTTCAAAAGGATAGGAAGGTAACGGAAGAGCAGACGTCTGCCCTTTTTCTTTTTACCTTTTTTTTCCTTTCACTTTTTTTTCTTTCTGTTTGCGTCTGGATGCAAAAGATCCAGTGCGAACGCATTCAGCCAACCAAATACAAAAACGGATGCGTCGCGGTTGCATCTCGCTTTTCCCTCGGGATCAGAGGGCCGTTTCAATCATATTCAAAACCGATTAGCTGAAACTGGCCTACGGTTGAAGGCGAAGGGTTGGCAGCTACAAGAATCCTTGACGCGTAGCAACAGCTGACTGGGAATTTACCCTTCCTTTTTGACGATTTATATTTAGGTTTAAACGCGCCACGTCTTGAAAACCTTATTTATTCGAGAATTGTTCGTTTCTAATTAATTTTCGAGGTTCAACTAAAATAAAGATTGACGCAACGTGTCACCTTGGAAGTTTAGAACTTTGTAATCGATATCTTTTGAGATACCCACTCTAATTAGAGTGACTCTCTTTGTGGTTTCGTTTCATTTTCGGTGTATATGTTGTGTTATTAAGCGTAAAACACGCAACTTCACCATTAATAACTAAAATAGATATGTTTCGGTTTTGTGGACAAATTGAATTGTTATTTTACAAAAAAAATTCAAATTAGTCTAATGATAGGTTTAAACCGCAACTTAATTAAAGAGGGGATATTTATTTTATTTTCTAAACCGTAACTAATTGTCCAAGGGGGTGGTTTTTATGTGGTTTTAGAAATATTTCAATTTTTTTTATTTTTTGAAAGGTCTCCTTGAGCCAACGCGATAATCGAAAAGGACGAGGAACTTTACAGAGGACCGCCGTCCAAGCCGAATCCAACAAGCCGACCTTCAACCACACCTTCAATTTAGCCGTTCTTCGGGACGAAGACGTTTACGAAAGGGTTTATATTGAAGTTTGGCATCGAGATAGAATACGAAGGTGAGGCGCCGAAAATTAAAAACAACTTAAAATTTTATGATTTCTTTAAAAGATCAATATTTTCAAAATTGTACGATTTTTTTATCGTTAATAATAGAATATGATAAAATCGGTTCTTGGAGAAATAGCGCAACTCTGTTGGAGTGTACGATTTGCGCAAAATCCGCTCAGGATCGATGCGATCGCAACATTAGAGTCCCTGTAACCCGAAATCAGTGGCGTTCGTGTGGCTTTTCCTCGACCCTCTTCGAGCAAGGTTAAGGTGTGCCTAAAACGATTTGTGAAATATAAATAAATATATATCATCAAAAAAATAAAAATAAATTTCGCGATAAAATTATGTTTTGATCAAATTAAAAATCGTTTTAATTTATTATTTCCAATGGTTTGAAATCATTTAAAACAATTCGATTTCTTTTATCGCGATCTTTTTGACTCCAATCCAGTGTTGCAAAAAAAGCGCATTGCGGATAAACCAAGTCTTGACGTCTAGTTATCTTACCCCGGGGTTAAAAATGTCCAGGAAACCTTCAGACTGCGTGATACGAGGTTAATCGATAAGTAAGCTATTTTTTCTTTCCATCCCGGTATACTGACCTAAATCGAATTAATAATTGACCTAAAACCGAATTTGTTAAATTTTTCTTTGCAGAAAAAGCGAATTCTTGGGATGTATGTCTTTTGCGGCCGAAAATGTCATTACAAAGGTAAATTTTATTTTAATTAAAAAGAAATTAAATTAAACAATTTAATTTTTATTTAGGATGTTAAAGGCTGCTTTTACCTACTTCCACAATCCACCGGAAGATGTAAAAATGTTCCGATGACCCTGGACATTCTACCGGATTACAATCCTCATCTTGATAAAACGATGTGTGATAGTCATTCAAGTATCGATGAAGTTGCCACGGCAGTCTTCACAACCGGTGAAGACCTCGAAGACCTTCGAAAAACAACAATTGGATGTAAAGCCGCCTTGAGCGAACAACAAAAGCTTGCGGATGAGAATCTTTTTCTCAGGTAAATAAGTAATTTTTGAAATAATTCGTTTTTAAGATATTTTCTTGCTAGGTACTTGGAGTTGGATCCAACGGAAGGTCCTGAGGCGATACCAGCCGCTCTTCAACGTAAAGCGACCGGGAATAAGAACGGTCGCACTCCTTTCACAACCACCAAAAAGTTGATGCGACAACCCAAGACCGGTTTTGGATTCTCGGTGGTCTGGACGCATCCTCCGAGAATTGAAAGGGTCGAAAAGGGGCTCCCCGCGGATAAGGCGGGAATCTTGCCTGGAGATTACGTCATTTTTGTCGATAAACATAATGTGGTTATGATGCCCGAGATTGATATTCTTAATTTAATCAGGTAAATATTTTTCACTTTTATTTTTTATTAACCCTTTGTGTCCCAAGAAGTCAAACATTTTGAAACTTTGTGACAGAATCAAACAGAATTAAAACGCTATCAAAATACACTCGGTAATCCCCCTATTTTCGCATAGTCTAAGTGTAAAAAAAGATGCTAATTAAAAAATTTCTAGAAACCGTGTTTATTGAAATTAAGAAATAAAACTTATTTTAAATTCAAGCTTGAAGCTTTCTGTTTAAATCGATGTATAACAATCGATGGGTTGAATTAAAAAAATATTGAGAAAAAGAGTATTGAGTTAAAACTAACATTTTCGTATAACCTAAAAGTGTCAAAAAAGATGCTAATTTAAAAATTCCTGGAAGCCGTATTTATTGAAATTAAGGAATGAAACTTATTTTAAATTAAAGCTCAAAGCTTTCTCTTTAAAATGATGTATAATAATTGTTGGGTTGGATTGGAAAAATATTGAGAAAAAAAATGTTGAAACAAAACTTACATTTTCGTATAACCTAAAAGTGTCAAAAAAGATGCTAATTTAAAAATTCCTGGAAGCCGTATTTATTGAAATTAAGGAATGAAACTTATTTTAAATTAAAGCTCAAAGCTTTCTCTTTAAAATGATGTATAATAATTGTTGGGTTGGATTGGAAAAATATTGAGAAAAAAAATGTTGAAACAAAACTTACATTTTCGTATAACCTAAAAGTGTCAAAAAAGATGCTAATTTAAAAATTCCTGGAAGCCGTATTTATTGAAATTAAGGAATGAAACTTATTTTAAATTAAAGCTCAAAGCTTTCTCTTTAAAATGATGTATAATAATTGTTGGGTTGGATTGGAAAAATATTGAGAAAAAAAATGTTGAAACAAAACTTACATTTTCGTATAACCTAAAAGTGTCAAAAAAGATGCTAATTTAAAAATTCCTGGAAGCCGTATTTATTGAAATTAAGGAATGAAACTTATTTTAAATTAAAGCTCAAAGCTTTCTCTTTAAAATGATGTATAATAATTGTTGGGTTGGATTGGAAAAATATTGAGAAAAAAAATGTTGAAACAAAACTTACATTTTCGTATAACCTAAAAGTGTCAAAAAAGATGCTAATTTAAAAATTCCTGGAAGCCGTATTTATTGAAATTAAGGAATGAAACTTATTTTAAATTAAAGCTCAAAGCTTTCTCTTTAAAATGATGTATAATAATTGTTGGGTTGGATTGGAAAAATATTGAGAAAAAAAATGTTGAAACAAAACTTACATTTTCGTATAACCTAAAAGTGTCAAAAAAGATGCTAATTTAAAAATTCCTGGAAGCCGTATTTATTGAAGTTAAGGAATGAGACTTATTTTAAATTAAAGCTCAAAGCTTTCTCTTTAAAATGATGTATAATAATTGTTGGGTTTGATTGGAAAAATATTAAGAACAAAAATGTTGAAACAACACTTACATTTAAAAGAGTCAAAAAAGATGCTAATTTAAAAATTCTTAGAAACAATATTTATTGAAATTAAGGAATGAGACTTATTTTAAATTTAAGCTCAATGTTTTCTTTTTAAAATGATCTGTAATAATCACACTTAATAACCATTTATCAAAGAAATACCTTCTTGAACAACAAAATTCAACAGCACCACTTTTCACTAAACTTCTAACCTCACATCTGGATGAATAAGTTTAAAGTGTACCTAAAAATCCTACAGTGCGGATTGCGACGTTTTTTATACAGATTATTTTTTGTATACACTTGTATAGTAGAAAGTACAGACAGCTCTAAATGCGCCGAATAGATAACTACAGTTTAAAATGAGTGTTTAAAATTACCGGTACTTTAAAGTACCGTCGGGACACAAAGGGTTAAAAAAATTGCAGACATAGTATTAAATATGTAATTTGTTTGTTGCCAGTATAATTACAAAGTTTTTCTTGAAAACTGCAATTCTGCCAGATAATTTCAGTTATTTTCAGTGTTATTCTTGCAGTCTAAAACATGTTAGTGTAACTCCAGATTTTTTTTTGATACTCTCTGTAATCCTGATAGTGAATATTTTAAACTGTTTCTTGCACTTTAGAAATTGTCCAGCTAATTCCTGACATGTCGTTAAAGTTTCTATTCTGGAAAGAATAAATTTATGCATTTTCTTTGCTATACTATAAAAGTAGAAATGTTGGTTAACTCTGCATTTTTTTGTTTAGGTCATATGGTAATCAATTAACATTAGAAATATTCAGAAGAAACTCTTCAAGGAATGGTTCAGTGCCTAGCGTAAAACCACTGATGAGTTTCGAAAATATCGGTGGAGGTTTACCAGCTCCATCTTTATCGACCCAAAGAAGACCTTCAACGGTTTGTTCGACGACTAATACAGCATCGGTCGATTACAGCAGAAAAAAACTCCAATTACCTCAAATCACGTTTAATTCGGAGGTTGGTAGCGGTGTCTTCGTGTAAAAAATTGTTTTTATTTATATTACACAGCCAGTATTTTTAATTTCGTTGCTTTTTATAAGTATTTATTCAAGGCCAGTATTTTCTTTTTCAAGCTAGAGAAATCTCGAAGTATTATGGGCATATAATTCGTTTCTCTATTAATTTTTTTTTCATTTGTATTTTATTTCCTAATTTATTTTTTGTATATTGTTGAAACGAGTTTTTAGTTATTATTATTATTAATACATTATATTTTGTTTTTATAAACACAACTTTTTATTTTTGATTTCCTAATTATCCTTTTCCCTTTTTTAAGAAACATCTCGTTTTAAAAATTAATTTCAGAAATTAACCAGTAACATTGACGACTCGAGAAAAAAATCGATCCTTCAGTTAATAAGCAAAGAACAACAGTACGCCACTGGTCTTCAATTTGCAATTACAAGATTCGTTTCGGCATTGGCAGAAAGGAAAGATCTCGTGACGCAACGAGAACATAAAGTGCTTTTTCAAAATTGTGATGAGGTAAAAAGGAATTTTATCTGGTGATGTTGTTAAAAGAAATACTTTTAGCTTCTTCATATAACGGAAGAAATCTTGGAACATTTAGTACAAGAGGATGGCGATTCTCAAGTTCACATCCTACCAAAAATTTACTTTGCAAAATTAAGTGAAATGACCTCGGCGTACAAAAAATACTGTTCTGGGATAAAAAAATCCGATTGCGTTTTGGCAAATAAATTAAAAAATTCAAATTCAGAATTTGTAAGATTTATACAAGTTCCTGCGATTCCTAGAAGAAGACCGGATATAACGGCGTTCATCCATAAGCCTTTAGAACATTTTAGAGATGTTCTTAAGTCGTTTAATGTTATCCTAAGCCAAACTAAACCCAATCATGAAGATTATGCTGTGATATCACAAATCGTGCACGATTTACAAGTTGGTTTATTCTATTTTTATTTAATTTTGCTGGCACATAAAGGAAATTAAACAATTATTTTTAGATAACATATAGAGAAATTACAAGTGAAGGTGGGATGATGGAACCAATAGGAGAAGGTCGACCTTTATTATCAGTACAAGATCTTGAAAATAGATTAGTATTTACTAAGTGCAAAGTTGAGATTAATTTATTTTTGCTTTACCATTTCTTAACCATCTCAATTTTTTAGCCATTCGTTTTAAGTAAACCAGGTAGACAATGGATATTTGGTGGTGATCTTAGTAGAGTTGAAGGTCGCAATGTTAGACAATACTGGGCGTTGTTGTTTACCGATATTTTGCTTTTTGCGAAAGTTTCAAGAGATAGGGTGTTGTTTATTTTTGAAGATCCACTTCCTTTGTCGCATATAACAGATTTAACTTTTAATGTTAGAAAAAAAGGTAAATACTTTTTTATTTAAACAATTTTAACTTAAAATAAAATTTTAGTTAACGAATTTCGGATAACGGTAGAACCTGGTGGAAAAACAGCTAGCAGCCCAACTGTTCATTGCGGTCCAGATTTAAGTAGAACACCTAGAAAGAACCCAAACAAAAAGTGTATCCTTCTCCGAGCACCAACGACGGAATTAAAAGCTGTTTGGCAAAACCTTCTTCAACGGCAGATGTGAGTCAGTTGTTGTCATGCACAAATTAGCACTTTCCCTTTTTTCTATCAGATTATCCATAAAATTTCTAGTTTTAGTTTTAAATTATCATAGAATATTTTATTAATTTCCTCAAATAAGTAGTACTTAGACCCAATAGTCCTCTTAAGAGATTGTGTTTCTTGTCGTTAACGCACGCAGCTTCCACGTTAGCGCGGTTATGGACGGCAGCGCCTTTAGCAGCCCGTTAGAATCACCAGACGTCCCAATCACTTCTTCGGTGGTCACGCTACAATCCGCCGATTCGCTGTCCATACGTCGGCAGGTGCGTTCTAACACCATCGGCGAGCAAAAAAACGTAGTAGACAATAGTAGTAGTAGACCGCCGCCGCCGCAGGCAGAACAACACCATTTACTTTTCTCAACCAAATCCTTCTCTTTGGATAAAACACCAGAAACTCCTTCAGCAAACCTCACACTCTCCTCTCCCGAACAATCCCAATGCTTTTCTTCACATTTTAATTCAGAATGTAGCCTGGTGCAAAGATATAACCTACCAGATGACGTTTCTATATCTCCATCTGCATTGTTAACTCCAACCACCAGTGCTACATCTACCTCCCACGAAGAAGAAGCTGATGGTACAAATTATTCGGAAGAGTTAGATTTTTTAAGGTTTGAAGGTGACTTAATTTGTCTTGAGTATGAAATTGATACCTTAAGTATCGAGGAGTATCTCAAAAAAACGTAATAATGTACCATCAGGATCTCAAATTCGATGCGAAAGTCACATTATTTCAGTTACACAACAATCTAGATTGCCAATACAATATTCATCACTTAATTTCTTTTAAATTATAATTAGTACAATTTTTGTTCATCTTTTCTAAATGTTTTCTTTAAGATATAGAGTTCCTCAAAGTCTGAATTTATGTGCCAAATATATTTATATTTAACTTTTAACTCGGGCTTCCTTAAATTTTAGCTCAAAGATCACCACGATCTTCAAGATTACTTCTTGTCTTCGAACGATCGAACTATTAATTTATGTAATTTATGTCAATGACATGTTGGATCATCTTACTTCTTGTACTGTTAATACAGAAGCAAATATTGCGATCTGGTCTCGGCAGCATCTTCTGCTACTTTCCAGCAATCTGGCAACATATCTGAGTCTAATTGCAGCATTACATAACGATACCTTTTGTGTCGAGGAGAAATATACCCAAATATTTTAACTAAATTATATTGCTAGATTGATATAAAACTGAAATAATGTTACTCAACAAGTTTTGCCAAAATATTTCCAATTTACAAACTGCCCTCTTTACACAAATAAAACGAATAACAAATACTAAAAAGAGAACAAACATTGTTAGCACAATTTTTTTAAGTAGTCGCAGATAGATAGTCAATGGTTTAGTTTTTAATTAAAAAAAAAATCGTCGACGTCTTGTGGAAGATTGTAAAACTACTATATATTTGCAAAATAAAACCATTGGTTCTTAACTGTTGGCTTTATTCATTTGGACCCAAAGCCGGTAACCTCCTGATGCGCATTTTTCAGAATATACGACTCGTAAAGGAGAAAAGTGACTCTCAAAAGCACATAGACGAACTTATAGAGCACAAATGCAAACAACTGGGCAAATCTGCCACCGGTCATAAAGGAAGTGCCATTCACCTCGAGCAATGGATGAAAGGTCACCTGGGTACCACGACGACACAATCGGCGCAATCCCCCGAAGAAGAAAACGGTGATTTTGAAGTTTGGACCGAGGAGATGCTTAGGAAACGATCCGCAGAACTCCAAATCGTTCTTAATCAGAAGAATACCATGTTTCGATGTGAATCCGCGCTCGAAGAAATCAATATTTCGGAATCCGATGATCATAGTCCGTCCAAAAGCACCACCTCTGAAAGTCAAGTAAGATATTTTTCGAGAAAAAAAATGCTTAATTTTAAAGTTGGAATTTTTAAATATTTAGTAGCCGCTTTTGCTTACATTTAAATATTTTTGCTAAAACTAAGTGTTTGTAATAATAAAATATGGGTAAGTATATACTTTTTTGATTTTGATAATTTTCGTTTTTATTGAAACGTTAAAAATGAAAATTTTCAGGTTACGGTTCGGTCAAGTCCTGTAGTTCCAGAAACTCTATCAGTTTGCAGACAGTGTCACAGAACTTGCTTGACCAATCAAAATGGAACTTCAATTTTTTTCCCTAATAATAATCAAGACGTATTCGGAGAAAAGATAATGACTCAATCAAACGATGATTTAGGAGGTGGATGGAGACCATTAGTTTTAATGGGATTGACAGCGATGAATCCAGCAAGAAGTTTAATAACGCCAGATCCCTTCGCAGCTCCAGTTCCGAAAATATCAATTGTGCCTCCGACTCCTGATCTAACAAAAAAAGTTTGCGAAGACAACAATTACGATAAAACTAATTGTAATTGCACGGAAGGAACCAATCAAACCAACAATGATAATTCACCGGATTCTCCTCAAACTGAAGACCAACCATATCACTCCTTAAATAGTTCAAATTTAACTCTGAGAAGATATGGAACAGTTTCGAGTTTAGAACGGGTTGGATCCGATGAAATTATTGAGGAGGAAGAAGAAGCCAACGATAATTCTAGTGAAGAAGATGATGATGAGGTGTTTGAAGAAAACCAAGAAAAAGGATTTTATAACGAAGCCTTTAATAATTCAGGAATTAGAGGATGGACTGCAAGAGCCGGATCTTTCGTAGCCGAAAAAATGTCTTTTCTTGAAAGATTAGGTGAAGATTATAAAGTTGGAAGTAGATTTTTCGAACGGTATTAAAGTTAACTTTAATTAGCTTTAATCGTAATTCTAATTATGTTTTTTAAAAGATATTTAAGATCTTCTGAAATACAAGTAAACGGTGAAGATGGGCAAGAAGAAGAAACATCCGGGGCAACTTCCGGCGAAGATGTTTGGGGTACTCCAACAAGTGGTGGTGAATTAGATGACCCCTTAAGTTCACCTTTGGAAGGGAGGCGTTCGGTTAGAGAATTCATTAGATATTTCGAGAAGCTTTCAGAACTGCATGGGCATGCTTAAAACAAAAAGCTCTTCTTGTTCTTTTTTAGTGTGAAACCCCAAAAATGTTATAATCCTTTTCCTTTTATATCTTATTCAATAGCCTAATGATGGATCATTATCATCTAACGACGACAACACTGAGCTAATGATGGATGAGCTTTTGATGACTCCTCCGGTTACCAGCGCTGCAATAAGAGGGTTATTACCTAGAAGAACATTAGAACCTTTAATGGAAGAAGAATATTCTGATACTTATACTTCATCATCTTCTTCTTCTTCTTCAGAACGCGGTCAAACCGATCCTTCGGGATCACCAGAACAGGTAACTATTTGAATTAATTGACGATGAGCGCTTTATTAGTTTTTGCAAAGATTAATTTATTTATAATCGCTTTTGCTACAATAATTGCGTCGTTTTTAATTTTTGGTGAAAGACCTCAACGGTTCTTGTCTTTTTTTACATTGTGGGCAGGACAACGGAACTGGAAGTGCTGCTGACAAATGTTCGACTGCTGCAGAAAGAGACACGCCAAGCGTGGCCGCGACAGCTTCCGATTTCGAAGAATTAAATGTTCAAAGGCGGGAGGCAGTGGTAGTGGCGGAGTCAAGTTCTTGCAGCTCGACTCCTTTACCAAGGATCCAAAGATCGGACAGTTACAGACACATCATCGATCAGGAGGACGAGAATCCGAACTTCTTTGCCCGACTGAAACCCACGGTGAAATTCGTAAATATTGAACGAATCCCAAGATCAAAAGGCATTAAGTTGTAAGCTAATTCAATCAGAAAGGTGTAATTATTAATTTGGTTTTAATAAAACTTAAAGGTTGGAGTTTTTTAATATGAAACGAGAAAGAAAAATTCACGAGTCTTTTACGGGGGCCCCGCCAATGATCAATATGTACAGCAGAGAAGATTTCTTCGACGAAGTCGAGGAATACGATGCGAAACCAATTTCAACAAAAATTTTAAAAGTAATATTTTTGATTTTAACACATTTACAAATGTAATTATTTTTATTTTAGGATAAACAAATCGATAGAAGATTCTGGAAGCAGTTGAATAAACGAAGAAACCAAAAGCCCCTACAATTATCGGCCTAAAAAAATATGTTAAAAATCCTAGTCCATTTCCGCTCAAATGATAATGATGTTTCATTTACAAATTTTATTTATTTACTATTTCCAATACGAAAAAGAAACGCCCTAGTAGTTTGTAAATATAATCTTATTAAGATATTAGAAATACATTTAATTGATTTTAGAAAAAAAAAACGCCTCTGCACTTTAATTCAATACTTGTGGCCTCGTTTGAAAAGTAATATTAGGACGTTTTTAAGGTATGTAATGAATAGAGTCAATTGAAAACTAAAATCGAGGTTGAATTTTTAATATTAAGAGTTTATTTTATTCATTTTTAGTATCCCTTTAACGTTTCGTTTTAAGAATAATGTTAGTGTTTAAATGATAAATCAAAAAAGAATCCTCGTTGCGTAATAAAATCAAGTTTTACTAAAATGATCCGTCACAGTCAATTTGTGATAAGACCTTTTTTGTATACCGTTAAAGATAATGAAACTGTGAAATCAAAATCAATAAAATAAAATCTTAAATTAAAACTATTTTTGTTTTTATTTATTTAAATGCTTTATTAACGTTTCTTATACAAACAAGGTAATAACCCAACACTCGGCAATTTATTTTTATTTCTACACTCAGTCATCTTCTTAAAATCAATAAAATAAAATAAATCCTTCGTTAAATCCTTCCAAGATTGTTTAAATCCAAACTGCTCGATTCCTTTAATAAACACGTCGACTTTTTCAAATCTACTTTGCACCTCAGCAATTTTTAATGTACCCCTAGAACATTAAATTAAATAAAAACGTCATCTCAATTCAATTTTCTTACCCAATTTTTAATATCCTATTAGCTTCAAAAATGAAATCTTTAATATTCGTTCCCATTAATGATAAACAAAATACAACGACGTCAACACTATTTTTCTCTAAGGGTACTTTAGACATCTCACATTCTGTTACGTAATCATTTACAGCTTGTAAATCGAAGGAGTAAACTTTTTGGGGTACACTTTGAGATAATTTTGCCTCGCCACAACCCATATCTGCAACTATTTTATTTCCATCCCTAAAAATTAATTTCAAATATTGATTTATCATAAATATGGGGAATAAGGGAGAATATGGGGATCAAATAACGCTGAAATTTTGTCAAATAAACGATTTATTGTTTGGAATAAAATAATAAATTTAGACTTAGAGGAGGCAAGATAAATCACATACACCCAGAATCTCCAAAACAGAGTCGAGGAGGTAAAGACTGAAGCAGAAGCAGAAATGGGAACCAACCACAGAGAAGTCGTGGCAACTATTAATAATATAGAATTGGAAAGAGAAGAGATGAAAACCTACGTGAAAATAAACATCCATAAACTAAATCAGGAGAAAGAAAGACAAACACTGGAGGAAAGGTGGAGAATTTTTAAAGAGATAATGCGAAACAAAGCTATGGAGGTGTATGGAATGAGAAAATATAATAATCAGACAAAGAGAAACACACGGGTGGACTGAAGAGGTCCGACAAGCAATAAAGAAATACATAGAAAGAAGAAATACATAAGAACGAATTTGGAAGAGGATAGAGCAAACTATAGAATATGGTAAGAATAGCAGGAAATTCTGGAACCAAATCAGAAAACTGAAGGGAGATCAAAGGAAACAAATAAAAGCCGTCAAGGATAAAAACAACGAGATAAAGACAACTGTAAGGGAAATTCTGGACATATGGGCGGGTTTTTTATGCAGAAAAGTTCAAGGATGGAAAACGTACACAAATATTGTAGGAGGGAAGAGAAGATAATAAAATGTAAATAAGAAATAACGCGGAAGAAAAATTGATATGAGTACTTGGGCAGTATAATATCACAGATGGAAGGATAAATTTAGACATCAATGCAAGAATAAGGAAAACAAACAACGTATATCATACTCTAAACAGAACAATTTTTGGGAAAAAGTGTACAACTCGACAACAGTCCCAATATTAACATATGCCAGTGAATCATGGATACTCCAAGATAAACAAGAAGGGAAGATCACAGCAATGGATAAGGAAATAAGACTGGAAATAGATCAAAAGGAGATAATCAGCAAAATAGAGAAAAAGCAACTAAACTGGTACACCTACATAATTAGAATAGTAAAAAAGGTATTTGAAGCAAAGAATAACAATAAGAAAAAGAGGAAGAAGTGGGAGGAAAGAGTAGCAGAAGTTGAAAAGAAGACAGGGAAGACTCTAGCAGATATAAAGGAATTAACCAGGAACCAGAGGGAGTGGATTTATGCTATATCTGATGCCATCATAATAAATGTTTTAAAACATACATTTTTTTGATACTTTTAATGATTACATCTAAAGGATTTATAGGCCATTTATTAACTTGCTGTCTATATCCTTCATGGTAAGCTTGAAAAGCTTTCGGATCTTTTTTAAACATATCTTTAGCAGATTTTCCTTCGATTGTGTATAATTCTTCGTTTATATAACGAAATCTCGACGATTTCAAACGTTCCATCATTCGTTCTCTTAACGAAAGTTTCATAAATTCCTTTCTTGATTTTAATAACGTATGGTACTCATTGGATTTACCACCAGATGTGGAATTTTTATTGTCGATACTTTTTATTTTTCGTTTTTGATTTACAACTTGATTTTGAGTTAATTTTTTTTGATTAATTTTTAATTGTTTTGATGGGTTTTCGGGTTTATTAGGCAAATTATTTTTGGGTTTTTTATTTTTTTCCTTCTTTTTAGATGAAACGCTTTCATTTGAAGCTTTTGATCGATGACTTTTCTTCTTCTAAAAAAATTGATGTAATAAAATGATTCGGAATAATAATCTTTTTACCTTTTTTTTGAAGAGATTTTTAATTTTTTCATCGGATACTTCACTATTATCCCATTTAGGAGTTTTAAATGCGTCCATGATTATAAAAATCACATTGGTAAGAAAAGTAAGGTTATGTTAGGTTATGTTTCTATTTATTTTGATTATTTGTATCAAAAAATTAGGTTGGTGTCAATGAGTGTCAAATTTTTTTGAGTTATGTGAGGTTAGAATTAAGTGTCAAAATGTAAGTAAAAAAATTTATGATTAAATTAAATTCGTTTAAATAAAACGGAATTAGGTCGCGCTATCTTATCTTGTACTCTCGTCGACGACAATATAAGTCAATATTTTTATTTTAATTAATTTATTTTCGTTTCGATATCTCTAAGCCCCATTCGACTCTCTACTAAAGGCTTCGAAATGACCTTACATTTCATATTTATTTTCGTTGGCGGTCACGTTCGTGACGAAATTCGCGGTAAATATTACGTAAAATCGAACGAATCGTCTCTATTGTTTGGATTATCCGATACGGGGACCGTTCCGTTTGGAATTCCACTTGGAATTCCGCTAAAACAAAAAGGTTAGGTTAGTTATGTGTTTTATGTGTTATCTCGTTTATTTAAACCTATTTTTTTTCAGTTCTTTTAAGAATATCTCGGAAAACAGATGGCAACTATATTTCTTGTGAGAGGAAAATTCGTTTGTAAATGTTGTTCGTTACAAATACGACGGTTATCACAAAGTAGAGTTAATTTTAAAGCTGATGGACCAACACCAGTGGAAGTTTTAAATAAAAAATTAAAAAATGGGGAGTTGTTGAGGGATGAAGGACAAACGGAAGTAATCGAGGCGTTACAAAGACTATACGAGAATATTCAAGGTTATGAACCACCTAAAAAAAGTCTACTAAATCGCTTGTTTAATAAGAAAAAGCAAGTTCCTATTAAAGGTTTATATATTTATGGATCAGTCGGTGGGGGTAAAACTATGTTAATGGATATATTCTTTAATTGTTGCAAACAAGAAAAAAAATCAAGGGTACATTTTAACCAATTTATGTTAAAAGTCCACCAAGATATTCACGACATCAAATCGGATATTAACATAGATCACCGTGATAAAGATGCTAAAATTTACGATCCAATCCCAAGAATCGCGGAAGTAATCACCGATAAAAGTTGGTTAATGTGTTTTGATGAGTTCCAAGTAACCGATATTGCTGACGCGATGATTTTAAAGCGATTATTTACACAACTATTTGAAAGCGGGGTTGTTGTTGTTGCAACAAGTAACCGAGCACCAGATGATTTGTATAAAAACGGGTTGCAAAGGGCAAATTTTGTACCTTTTATACCAATTTTAAAATCACATTGTGAAGTAATCAATTTAGACTCCGGTGTTGATTACCGTTTGAAAGGTCAAGCTGGCCAAACGCATTATTTCGTTAAATCGCAACATGAGGGTGAAGACCCCGTCGATAATATTTTTAAAGAACTCATCTCAAAAGAAAACGATTTTGTTAGGCCACGTACTTTTACTATTTTAGGACGAAACGTAACGTTTAATAAAACATGCGGTGGGGTTTTAGATACAAATTTTGAGGAATTATGTTGTCGTCCGGTTGGAGCTAGCGATTATCTTCATCTTACGCAATTTTTCCACACGATTATCATTCGGGATTTACCCCAACTTAGTTTGAAGCTTCAATCGCCAGCTAGAAGATTTATTACTTTGATCGATAATTTGTATGATCACCGAACTAGAGTTGTAATTTGCGCTCAAGTTCCGCTTAAACAATTATTTTTAAAGAAAAAGATGGATGGGGATGAAATGAGTGACGAACAAAGGGTTTTAATGGACGATTTAAATATCGTTAAAGGAGATGCTAATTTATCAGCGAACGTTTTTAGTGGGGATGAAGAAATTTTTGCGTTCGATCGGACTTTATCGAGATTATCTGAAATGCAAACTAAAGAATATTGGGATGCTGCTGAAAGATAATTTTTAATTAATTTTTTTTTTTTAATAGGAAATCTTGTAAATAATTTTTTGTAATTTATTTTTTGTGTGTATAAAAGAATTTTTTTTTGATTTTAGTATTTATTCGTACTTATTTCATTGTGTATGATGTAAATATGAAAAAAAACTGCCAATAATTTTATTAATTAAACAAATTTAATTGTAATTTTTTTTTGTTTAGGAAAAGAAATATATTTTTTTTTGATTAAATCGTTTTATTTTAAATTAAAAACCCCGATTTATAATACTAATTTTAGGTTTAATAACCATTTTTAACGCAACATAAGCTATCAGTCTGGAAAGAATTAAATAAATCGCGACATCATTAAAGCGTATTCAATGGAAGAGAGAAAGAAAGAGTCATGGAAGAAATACATAACAACAAGTATCTACGGACTACCGAAGATTCACAAACCAGACGTCCCCCTCCGCCCTATCGTCAGCGCCATCAACTCCCCAACATACCAGCTGGCTAAACATCTTGCAAAGATTCTGTCCCCCTTTACAGGTAACACGGAATCGTATGTCAGGGATTCTACACATTTTGTGGAATCGGTAAAAGGTGTAAAGCTGGATGCTGGGGATATGTTGGTAAGTTTCGATGTGGAATCCCTTTTTACTAGGGTACCAGTTAAGGATGCTGTAGAGGGTCTTCGCCGAAAACTCATTCCGGAGGGTTTACCAGGATACGTGNACGCGGACGATTTGGTGGTAGTGGCGAGAGAGGCGAAGGAGATGAAGGCGATGATGCGGAGTTTGGAGAGTTACTTTAGGGGGAAGGCTCTGGAGGTGAATGTAGGAAAGACAAAGGTTATGAAGTTCTGTAAAGGGGGTAGAAGGAAGAGCGAAGATTGGAGGTGGGAAGGGAAGGAGATAGAGGAGGTGAGGGAGTACACATATTTGGGGTACAGATTTAGAGAGGACAACAAGGAAGGCGCGCATGTGAGGGCAATGGCCAAGAAGGCGAATAAGGTGATGGGGCAGGTCTGGGGGTGGGGAGAGAGATTATTTGGAAGGGATATAGGAAAAAGGAAGATGATCAACTTCACTTTTCCTCTGAAGATGGGCAACGGCAACTCAGAATAGGCTGGTGGCAATTTATTATATAATTTTATGCACATATAATTAGTGCTTTGTTGTGCTCTTTGATGCGGTGCTGTGGAATGACGATCCTGTTTTTCTGCCTACTATCCGTGCAAAAAGTCAAGGCCCCTCACTTTAGAGATCAATATCTTCGTAACCGCTCAATGGAAAAAATTGCGGTAAAGTTTATTGTAATCAGTGAACATTTCTGCATATCACATGTTAATTTGAAAATTTTCGGGTCCGCGGGTTATCTTTTACCGCGAGTTAAGTGAAATAAGTATCCGATTTTTGAGAGTACCGGCAACTTTGTCAATTTTGCGATTTTTTTTCTCGAAAACTATCGTACGAAAAAATAAAAATTTTGAGCAGGTGGTAGCCCGATGTGTTTTTAATGACATTTTATTTTTTCGATATTCCATACAGTTTCACGGAAAATCGCGGTTTAGTAAGACGCCGTTATGTCGAAAATGGCTGTTCGCAAGTCGGATTCCGTTATTAGTTTTTCAAAATTAGAGCTCCCTAATTTTTGAAGAGCGATTTAATGGAATTACAAATTAAAGAGAAACAGAAATAAACTCTGCGGGGTGCCAGGGCTTCCGTCGTCCGGAACACATGGTGCGTCCCAGACAGGATGTCGCGCCTTATTTCTTTATGTAGGTAAGATAAAGGCGCGACGTACTGTCTGGGACATACCATCTCTTCCGATTGGATGGAACCCCCCTCTCCCCGCAGAACTTACTTTTGCTGGATTAAGAGTTTGGAAGTTTGAAGCGATGATCCCACACCTCGATGCCATATTGAAGTATGGAATTAAAGTTCTAGCAGCCTCATGCGTTGAGATAATCCTTATTCTTCTGATGAGGTAGGTTGCTGTGGCTAACTTTTTTGTAACGTATTTTATATGTGAATTCCATTTCAGGTGGGAATCTATGTTAGGACCAAGGAATTTAATCATATGTCCCGTATCTGGCTCTCTATTGGTGAGTATGAGTGATTGCTCTATTGCTGGCGAACCACTCTTTCGCCAACAATCTGTCTCTAGATGTCACCAACAGCGAAGTATCATCAGCGAAAAGGCACGTCAAATCAGCTGTCAAGTTTTGTAGTTTTGTCTGTTGCCTAGAACAGATCCCTGTGGCACTCCCTGCCCTATCTGTCTTCTTGCCGAGAATCTTCCTTTCCAGTAAACCATTTGTGTTCTATCCTGGAGTATGTCTTGACGTACCGCTTATACCGTAGTACTCTAATTTATGCTATATCTGACGCCATCAGACATAAGGGTGAGGAGAAGAAGATTTATCATAAATGTTTTAAAACATACATTACAAACACATTGCGAAATAATCAATTTAGACTCGGGTGTTGATTGAAATATATTTTTTTGGATTAAATCATTTTATTTTAAATTAAAAACCCCGCTTTATAATACTAATTTTAGGTTTAATAACTCTTTTTAACGCAACATAAGCTATCAGTCTGCAAAAAATTAAATAAAACGCGGACATCATTAAAGCGTATTCAATGGACGATTCGGACATTCCCATTGTTCTCAGTATTAACTCCGGATCACGAAAATGACAATAAATCTCATCGGCGCAATCAAGTAAATCTCGATCGCGCAATAAACTCACGCATAACCCTTCAAGACCATGTCTCATGTAATCGAGGAACATGAAAAATTTCATTATTGGTCCAACACTTCCGTGGTAACCCATTCCGTACATACAGATTAATAAAAGAACCACACCTAAAGCTGAACCTATTACAGCACCCATCTATAAAAAGAAATTAAAAAATAATTAAGAAAATCGTTGATTAAAAAAAGATTACCGTTGGTTTAAATGTACTTCCTATGGATAAACCAATTCCGTATGATGTTAAGGCTATTATTAAGGTTACAATGTTGAAATAAAAAAATCTTGGTATTTCCATCGGTTGATCAGTCATTACATAAACTAGACAGTTGAATAGAAAACTTAAAATAATCTGGAAAATTTTTGAAAATGAATAAGTTGTTTATGAAGTAATGTGTCAAATGAAAATGTTATGTAGAAAACTTTAATAATCATTAAGTGTATTTTTACCTAATCTATAGAAGACCTTGTATTTTTGGGGTATCTTAATTATTATAAAAGGTAACATTAAGTATATTTTTAATGTTCTTATTTTACTGAATTATTATTTTGTACAGACAAAGATACAAGAAGCAAAGGAAGCTGCGAAGAGAGCAAAGTTATAGATTTGGGAGGAAGTTAAATAAAAATTATAGGAAAAATCAAGAACAATTCCGGAACGTAGTCAAGAGGTTAAAGCAAAACTAATACGGAACATAAAGAATCAGAAAGGGGCACTACAGACATATTAAAAACATGGAAAACACATTATGAGGCAAAATTTAAACAAGAGGATACAGAAGAGAGGAAGCAACCTAAGAAAGGAATCATCTGGTTCGAATAAAAGAAGAACCTAAGAAAATGTTCAACATCAGGCCAGAAGGAAAGAGAAACAGGGGTAGACCAAGATCCCAATGGGATGGAGAGATTGAGAAGATGGTTCAAAGAAGAGTCTCGCCGAAGTATGGACAATGGCCAGAGATAGAAAGATGTACAAAAGATGGATCCAAAACCCAACACCGTAAGGTATATATAATTAATGTAAATATAATTAAATAATATTAATTAATTCAATCAAAAATATAATTTCTAAGACTTCTAGTAATTCAAGTTAAACAACATTTTTATGCGAAATGAAATTTTCTACATACAATTTTCATTTAATAATTTCATAAATTAATATTATTACCATTAAAGGAATATTAGAGATTGTTAAAGATGTATAATACGCCTTTAAACTATACCAATGGTTAAAATACTCTCGTTTTATAACTTCTAATTCAAAAGGAACTAAAAAAAAATAAGATTATCAAAAAATTCGAAAAGAAATTTCTGTCTTACATAATAAAATAGGACTCATTATATAAGTGTAAACATAAAATACAATCATCGCAATTTGTAATTTAAAATTAGCTATAGCTTGATTGGCGTTGTTTCCGACTGCAAAAAACGACATTCCTATTGCAGCCGCGCTAAGAACGTGATTAAGAGTTTGTATGCCTAAAACCGTTTTATTTCGACTCAATTGTAGGAACATCCGGGATAATAAAACGTAAACTTGAACATGAAACGGAACTGGATATCGGAATACCTCGAAAATATCATCGGATTTCTCAACCGGATTTGTAGTCGGATTATAAACTTGACTTTGTGCGATAAATTTCTCGGTCAGAATCGTGTCACAATTATTTATTTTGCCATTACTACTCGCGGTTGAAAGTAGTTTTGTTGTCTTATTGTTTCCACTTAATTCGATTACTTCAAAAAAAAAATAAAAAAGATTAAATTAAACAGATTAAAAATTCACTTACAATAATCTGCCGGACTTGAATAAGCCGGACAAGGATATTCAATTCGTTGTAAAAATGGTACTATTACGTTTACACTTCCGTTGTAAACACAAAGACCTTCTGACATGAAATAAACTTGATCGAAAAGATAAAATAAAAGATCTGACGGTTGATGAATCGTGCATATTATAGTTCTTCCTTGTTTAGCTAATTCCTTTAAAAGTTGTATACACTGTTTAGCAACGACGTTATCTAAACCCCTAAAAAATTTATTAGTTATAAATACACAATAGTTCAAAGTCGAATTATGTGTCAAGGTTTGTTTATTTATTAATACTTGGAATTTTTTGGTGCTTATTATTAAATAAACAGTTTGATTCGGATTATTTTCGTAAATGGTGAAAACGATCGTCATAATAACACCAATTATATCTTGTCATATCTATTATATTTATAATTAGATAAATTTCTGAAAAACACCCAATTTCTTAAAATCAAAATAGAAATTTCAAAAATATTCAAGAAAATAATTCGTTTGTTAAATTCAAGGTTTGTTTATGTAGTTTAAATTAAAATAGGTGAAATTTAAAGTGACTTACGTAGTTGGTTCGTCTAAAAACAAAACAGGCGGATTATTTATTAATTCCAGTGCGATAGCCACTCTTTTTCTTTGTCCCCCTGATAAATGTTCGGTTCTTGTGTCTTTTGTTGCTTGCAAACCCAGCATGTTTATGACATTTTCAACCTTTAAAATATTTTTATTTGTAATACGTATGTTTTATTCAAAAGCAGTGTACCAAACGAAAATATCTCGTATAATTTGAGCAATTTAAAACGAAATTTTAATTGCTAACAATTTTAAACCACACAAATTGTTTTGTGTAATTGAGATAGTGAATTGCGTAGACCAATTTGCAAAAAATAATTATGGTTCCATAAAAAAACTAGTTATTACTGTTATTAGACAGCCTTTGTATTTATGAAATTTATTTTTTCTACAATCCGTTTGGTTAGTTAAATCAATAGTTTATAGGAGGAGAATTCATTTTAAATAAATTTGAGCAATTATGTAGAATTATGTTATAAAGAATGATAGTTTTTTAGCGAATTAAACCATCAAAGTTGATACTATATATAATGTAATTAATGACTTAATTACTATTAATAATTTTTTCCTAGGGACTCTGTTTTATGATCCGTCTACGTTTTCAGGCTGGAAACTTTCTAGCTCTTTCTAGGAGACAAATATTTTTGTTGAGACAAATACGAAAATATGAAAATTTTACGAATTTGTTGTTTTTTTTTAGATGTTGGTTACACTGGGACATCTGAGAGTACTACAAAAAAACTTTTAGAACAAAAGTTGTACCAAATTATATTCTTAACAATATTGCTCTCTTGCACTTTTGCTCTCAGACGAATAGATATTGAAAAAAATACGAAAATATGAAAATTTTACGAATTTGTTGTTTTTTAAGATGATGGTAACACTGGGAAATCTGAGCATGTTACAAAAAAACTTTTAGAACAAAAGTTGTACCAAATTATATTCTTAACAATATTGCTCTCTTCTGGTTTTGCTCTAAGACGCATAGATATTGAAAAAAATACGAAAATATGAAAATTTTACGAATTATTTTTACAAAATAACTTTTAGAACAAAAGTTGTAGCAAATTTCATGCTTAACAATATTGCTCTCTTGCAATTTTCCTCTCAGACGAATAGATATGGAACTACTACTACGGTTAGCATATTTTTATTGAACTAAAAATAGTGAATCAAAGTTAACAATTCTCCTTAAGTAAACAAGTTTACTCAAGAAATATTTATTGCTGCAAAACATGATTTTTGCGAAAAATAAGGTTACGTTGTTAGGTGTGATATAATAAATGAGTAATGTTTTTCTTCAAAACAAGATTTTAGAACCAATTAAGTTAATAACATTTGATATTTTCGTTTGGACATCTACTTTTTGCAACTTATAACCAAAAATAATTACAATGTTATCTTTATTTCTCGCGTCTAAATTGTTATCCAATTTAAGTTTAGCTGCATAATCCATCGCTTCTTTAACAGTTAATTGTTTTTGAATTAGATCTTCTTGCATAATGTAACAAGATAGTTTTTGGAACGCTTTTAAATCTCTTTGAACTCCGTTTATTTTTATGTTACCACTAATTCCTTGGGTTCTATTAATATTAAATTAAAACATTTAATTTTTAATTAAGTGATTAATACGCACATTCGGCCGGCTAAAACGTTTAACAAGGACGTTTTTCCAGCTCCGCTTGGTCCTAAAATACCAATTAGATTTCCGGCACAAAAAGAACCATTTAAAGAATGCAAAATATTGCGAACATTTTCTGAAAAGATTAAAAAATAACTGGTTTGTTGACGTAAAAGTATAAAAAAGAAGATATGTATATCGTTTTTGTTGCATCGATAATCTAAAATGTTGTGTAATTTTTGTTAAAACGTTTCTAATGGAAAGTTAGAAAAAAGTTTCTATTGGTTTTAAAAACATTTAAAGTAAATTAAAGTTTAAATTGATTTGTTGACAAAAAATTTAATTATTCTAAACGTTTTAGTTAATAACTAATTAATAATAATTATTCATTAATACAATCGGATCATTATTTCTTAATATAAAAATGATAATTTCGAGATAATTATTATCTAAATCAAAACAGGAATTTAAACTTGCAAAGTTGCTAAAAATTTGTTTTCTTTCTCATTACCGTTTTCTGTTTATTTCTTTCTCTTTTTTAGAGAGTTTTAAAGAGAAATGGTTGACGCAGATTAAATTAATACAAAGCCAGCAAAATAAACAATGATAAAGTTATTTCTTTTTATCGTTTGACCCAAAAACCTCTCGAATATTAATAAAAATTCAACGAAAGAAATGAAATAATTTTTTAAAAACTTTATTGAAAATTGTTATCTTATCGTTTCATAATATTTGATAAATTAACCAAAAAATAATTATTTACGGTAATTTACTTACTGTTTTCTCGGATGTTAAAGTTTAAACCTTCAAATTGAATATCCACGGATGGGCAACGTTTAAAAATCTTTTCAGTCATTTTATTAACAAATTCTTTAAGCAAATAAAACACTTCAACACAACACTCGAAACCGAACCTAACAAGCGCTAAGTGTTGAATGAAACGCGTGGTGAACAACTCCGCGATATAATCCCATCAGCAATTTTAATCACAATTGTAAATGTGATAAAAAGGTTTAAACCAAGACTAAGGTTACAGGTTTTTATGTTATGTCTTTGTAGTTAAGTTAACCTTAATATTTTTTTGTTTATATTTATTATATTTAACAAAAACTTTTATTTATTCTAGTTTTAACGACTCGCTTTAAAACAAGATTACTCATCAACCAGATTAGGATTAAATAAATTATTGACTTCGTTATGTCGTATTTCAAGGAACACTCGGCCATTCACATCATCCTCAGCATTAACTCCGGATCTCTCAGGTAACAGTAAATTTCTTCGTTGCACTCGAGTAATGCGCGACCTTGCAATAAACTCACGCAGATACCTTTAAAACCGTATCTGGTGTAATTAAGAAACAAAAAGAATTTCATTATTGGTGTGATGGTGTTTTCATAACCCATTCCGTGGATGCAAATTGCTAAGATTACAAATTTTTACACCAGTGTGAAGTTACCCATAAATTCCATCCATAAAAAAAACTTTTTTGTTTCTGTATCGATTTTAATGATTAATAGCTCATTAGAAAGATCTCCTGGAGTAGAGCATAACATAGTTTTGGCGGCGCAGATTTTAGGCGGGAACACCTTAAATTCCGCGAAAACAGTGAAATATATAAAAAACATCTCTAACTTTAGAGTCCCAAAAATTGAAAACTAATTAACATAACATGAGGTATGATTACCAAATCAGAATGCGTATACTGTCTTCTATACAAAAGTGAATTTTGGTCGTCGCTAAATCATATGGGTAATTAGAAAAGTGCCAGGCGGTTCTTTGAAAATAAAATCCTATTCATAAGTATAACTTTTTTGTTAATGGTCCGATTTAGGTTTGGGTAATACCTTTTTGGAAAGGGTTCGTTCTGTAGATCATGTCATAGTAATGGCGGCGTGAAATTCTAACAATAACGGTACTTAAACGATTAAAAAGGTTATAAACAATCATATCCATAAATATAACGTTATTGTTAATTGTCTGTAACTAACTAATAACTAATAAATATAACTTAATACGAGATGTGTAATAAACGAAAAGTCAAACAAAGTGCCAGAAGAGAGTTGAGCGAAATGCGATCCATTAACATACAATTCTCAGTATGAAAATACGACCTTTAACAACAGCCAGGAACATTTAAAACAAATTTCCAAAACTAGATTATCCTTTACAAGCAGATTGATACAATTGTGGAGTTCTTGTCTGTGATTTGATTGACTGTATATTATCAAATAAATCATTAAATGCAGATTCATTCAGAAACATCATTATTGAAACTTTATTAAAAAAACTCCGACTCATTAAAGGAAAAATGTCTCTATTTCGCTGAAGAGGTTCATAATGAATTCAAATACAAACAATGCTCGTAGATGGCCCATGATACCTGCAAAAATAGTTTGGACGAGCGGTTTGAATTTTGTAGACAGCGATCTTAAACTGTAATGGGGTAATGTAGTTTAGTAAAATTGAAGACTTCTATTAATTTTGTATTTTCCAAACAGGGCCTTAGTTAAAAAAAAATAAATAATGAAAATTTGAAAAAACTTTGGATACGTCACCGTCGTTTCGCAGGCGGTTGGTTGAAATAAAAATCAATAAAAGGTGCATGAGCGAGATGCCACGAGAATCTTATGCGCTAGAAGAAGAGATCCGAACGATTCACGTTTTGTCTGATCTTCTTGATCTTACGTGAAAACCTCGTAAACGTAACCAAAGCTGTTATACAGGGAATTTTGAATTTTAATATTAATTATTGCAAAAATTGAAACCAATCCTTCTATTTTTACATACTTTATTGATTTTTTGAAAGACTGTCTTTCTATTTGATTGAGGGTAACGGCCCTATACGGTACAATAAAAATGTGCCATCAATTTTTATATACAATTTAATGTAGCAACTAAATGTAACTACAATTAAATTAGATTTTAATAGTTGACTACTTATACAATTTTGTTTAATTTTGATCTCATTTTGTAAATAATTGTTGTAGCGAGTTTTAGATACTTATTATCTTTACAGAAAAATTATATAATATACAGTTGACTTGTCGTTAATAATAATGAATTATAGTATTTTATTAATATACTGTGTTTTTACTTATTATAAAAGTGGGATAGTTACTAACAATGTTTAAAGGACTAAGAATATAATTATTTATAACGTTTTTAATCGTTTAATCACCCTTATTGTTAGAGTTTCGCGCCGCCATTACTATGATATGATCTACAGGACGAGCCCTTTCCAAAAAGGTATCACATATTAAAATCGGAAAATTAACAAAAAACTAATATTTATGGGTATGATTGTTTATAACGTTTTTACTCGTTTAATTACCGTTATTGTTAGAATTTCGCGCCGCCATTACTATGACATGATCTACAGGACGAAATCTTTCCAAAAAGGTATTACAAACTTAACTCGGACCATTAACAAAAAAGTTATACTTATGGATATGATTTTGCTTTTCAAAGAACCGCCTGGCGCCACGTACGTCTGGAAACAGGTTGGTGCGTTGTTGCACTTTTCTAATTACCGATATGATTTAGCGACGACCAAAATTCACTTTTGTGTAGAAGACAGTATACGCATTCTGATTTGATAATCATACCTGATATTATATTAATTACTTTTCAATTTTTGGGACTCTAAAGTTAGAGATTTTTTTTATATATTTCACTGTTTTCGCGGAATTTAAGTTTTTTAACTCTACGAGATCTTCCTAATGCGCCATTAATCATTAAAATCGATACACAAACAAAAAAGTTTTTTTTATGGATGGAATTTATGGGTAACTTCACACGGGTAATTTTTACCTATTCTTATTTTTCCACCTACCTACTTTACAAGCCGGTATCTTCGTTGTCTTTAAAGATAGCGAATTATTAACTACACCATTAGAAAGGTTAATTTTTTCTTCATCCAAAAACGTTTTGTTCTTCAAAATATCTATAGGCGTTGGCTAAAAAACACGTCTAATAAACAATCGTATATATAGAATCGGCCTTTCTCAATATAACTCTTTTATTTGGCAGGAACAGCAAATTAAAGCAATATCAATCATATCGAATAAGAAATTTTCTGCTCTATACAGTGGTACATAACTTTCATAAATCGCATGCTTGTACAAGCATTTATCTCCCCAAAATTGCAAAAACCGCGTAAAATTGTCTCATGTAAATGTTTACGACGTCATCACTTTCTTTTGTGATACGGACAAAACTCTGAAAGCATATAGCACCTATAGAGAATTTCCCGCTCTATACAATGGTGTGTAACTTTTGTAGATCGCATGGTTGCACAAGCATTTACCCTCCAAAAACTGCATGTAATTGTCGTATATAAATGATTAGTATCATAACTGTCATTAACATCATTCTTGTGCAACCATGCGATCTACTAAAGTTATATACCACTGGATAGAGTGAAAAATTTCCTATGTGTTTGATACTGCTTTAGTTCTTATATTTAGTATTATATTGGCGGACGAAAACTCGGAATAAGATAGTGTTGGTTAGTTTTGATTGATTAGCTAAGGTCAATTAGGAGTCCTTCAAAATTAAATTTATTTTCAATATTTAAGATATATAATTAATTCCTAGCTGCCCCAAAAATCCCCATAATTAATACAAACAACTGCATTATTTCCGTGTACAAAATAATAGCACCTAAAACGTATTCTTCCGGTGATAACTCGTATTTCTTTCCGCCCAAAATTAATTGAGTCATAAACATAAAATACTAAAACGAAAATAATGAAATTATTTTTTTTATAATCAATTATTTTGTAATACCAAAGAAGTCACTAACGCTGCAATTGACGCGTAAACCAAGTACAAAATTCTTGTAGTCTCGTTCCAACCCATTATCATCATTGTAATCATCGTGGCTAAACCAAACAGTGATATAACTAACCCGATTAAACATAAATACATTCCACAGCCAGTTATGTCGATCTAAAAAAGGTTTCGTAAAGAAATTTGTCGAGTCAAAATGAAAGTATTTACGCATTTTTGCATCGCTAAAATGGTTACTGCAAGACAAACAGCTGCTGTTATACCAAAACTATAAAGAACTATATCCGGGGCGTAAAGTGCTGCTAGTAATGCGTATCCTATTGCAGATATAATAGTCTAAAAATTAAAATAACTAATGTTTCTAATTTCACACTAACACCATCTTTTGATTAGCCTACATAGTAACTATCAGTATACTTAGAAGTAGAATCATTTGGATTTAGCCGCACGTCTTTAAAGACGGCTAAACCCAAATGATTCTAGTTCTAGGTATAGTGTTAGTTCTAGTTTTACCCTTGCACTGTCACTAGAACTAATATTAGACCTAGAACTAGAAACATTTGGGTTTAGCCGTATGTCTTTTAAGACGGCTAAAGCCGAATGATTCTAGTTCTAGATCTAGCGCTGCATAACAATTGGATCACTTTATACATCACTTGACTAAGCGACATTTTATCGTTTTTAGAAATTTGCATGCTGTCTGGTAGGTAATGGTGTAATAAGTAAGTTTTTTAATCTAAAGTAATGTTGTAAGAATCGACTTAGATACGACACTTAAATACACCAAGAAATTCCACAATAGAAAAAATAGATGAACCTACAATTTCGGACCAGTGTGGTTCTCTAGATATTAGTATAAAATTAAAAGTTTATGTCTTTTATTTTATATAGAATTTAAGTTTAACTAGTTTCGGCCCTTGGCCATCTTCAGAGACTCTACAAATAGATTAACATCTCTCATGTTATCCATTTTACAAACGACAGCATGTTGCATATTTTTATTGCACTTATTGCATTTGAGTTTAGCTAAACCCTAATATTTCTGTGTTAGTTCTAGTGATAGTACTAGTGTAAAGCTAGAACTAACACTAGACCTAGAACTAGAATCATTCGGGTTTAGCCGTCTTGAGAGACGTGGGACTAAATCCGAATGTTTCTAGTTATCAGTCTAGTGGCAGTGATAGGTAGCGCTAATTAGCATAAGATATTACTATGTTGCACGTTTTTATTGAACTAAAATTAGAACGAGAAACATTCGGGTTTAGTCGTGAAAAAAACTTTCAGTTGCCAATTACAACTTTAATTTTATTATTATATTCGTAATCTTTAAAGTCTTTTTTAACCTTTAAAGTGAGTCCAAACATGACACATTTATCTCAAAACACCAAAAAGTTCGATCTTTCAACTATAAATTTTGACATATTTGTCAACTTCATAAAAAATCCTTTAAAATGAGTACAAACTCGACATATTTACCTTTAATATTAATGGAAATACAATCACTTCCGGCTTGAAACGTCAACGTCAATTTTGACATATTTGTCATCTCCATTAAAAAACCTTTAAAATGAGTCCAAAGATGACGCACTTATCTCAAAAAACAAAAAAGTTAGATTAAAAAACATTAAACCCGAAATTAGCAACAATGAAGATAGCAATTTAATTTTTAAATATTAATACCAACCTTAATTTTTGATTTTTTTATTATATTTCCGTTTTTGTGACAAATGTTAATACATTTTATAAAAATTAAGAATATGTTAGAATGACGTTGACATTTCAAACCGGAAGTTGCTTATAGCTCGAGTAATATTGGAATTAAACGTATCATGTTTGGACTCATTTTAAAGGATTTTTCACGACGATTACAAATATGTCAAAATTGACGTTGACATTCTTAACCGGAAGTTGACCATAACTTCATTAATATTGAAGATAAATATGTCGTGTTTGTACTCATTTTAAAGGATTTTGAATGAAGATTACAAATATGTCAAAATTGAGGTTGCCATTTTAAACCTGGAGTTAGTTATCATATAATAGAAGTGTTATAACTGAAGTTAATCTAGTGTTAGTCACTTTTCCGCACTTTCTTTTTATTTTTAACGTGTTTTTTGGGTCATTTCACATTGATTAAAAAAAATCGTCGATTTTTAAGTCACATGATGATTCTTGAATTTTCCCAAGTTTCTTAATATGTTTTGTTAAAAAAGAGCGCTCTTAAATTTTAACCTGTAAACTTGTAACACTTCGTCCTTAATTTCATTTTACAATTTTTTAAACTTTAATTAAAAGATCTTTTTTAACAAGAAACATTAAGAAACTTGTTTGTAAAATGGATAAAATGAGAGTTGTTAATCTATTTGTAGAGTCTCTGAAGATGGCCAAGGGCCGAAATTAGTTAGACTTAATTTCTATATAAAATAAAAACCAGTTTAAAAGTACAAAATCAAACTCTAGATTATTTTCTTCAAAAATTTTTACACGAATCATCATATTGACTCTAGTATTTGTAGTTAAATTTATGCCACGACAGAAACACCCTGTATAATAGTAAAACGTACCAAGCGGCTTCTGTGCTTGTGATAGCTGTCATCAGTGTTCTGTGATAAAAATAGACAGTCATCAAACAATTTTGAATAGTTTGAGCCTGTCTATTTTGAGAAGTCTTATGTTTTTAGAGAGATGAAAACGAAAATCTCGTTTTTCTCAACATTGTTCATTTGTCGCTTAGTCAAGTGATGCATAACGCGGTCCAATTAAAACTAGAACTAACACTAGACCTAGAACTAGAATCATTCGGGTTTAGCCGTCTTAAGAGACGCCTGGCTAAGCCCGAATGATTCTAGTTCCAGATTTAGTGTTAGTTCTAGGTCTAGTAATAGCTCTAGTTTTAATTGCTATGCAGAGTTCTAGAACTAGAACTAACACTAGGCCTAGATCTAGAAATATTCGAGTTTATGTAATACTATAAGCACGCGTACTGTAAGATTAATAAAGAATTATTTAAATTAACTTACATAAATAGCAAATAAAATGAAGTTTAATGGATAATTTCTTCGCGCAGCTTGAACACATACTAAAACCATATAAAAAATTAAAGATACCATTCTAGAAATGAATTTAGCTTTGTTAAAAGTGTTGGGAGATAATTTCTTAGTTAAGTCTTACAAGAAAATTATCGATACGAAAAAATATCTCCGCGCAAATAAATTGCAATTGGGCCTAAAAAAAAATTATTAGATTAAAAATGAAAATGATTGAAAAACTTACTCGAATTGAAATAGAGCGATTACCGCGGCTGTAAAACCGAGTTGCATAAATAGTAAAAAATAAACTTTTTTAATAAAAGCGTGTCGAATCGCCCTCGATGTAAATTCATTTTCGTAGCTATCTACAGAGTCCTCATATTCTGGGCGACGTCCCGGTTGAACAGCCGGCGTTCTAGCCGCGTTTATAGGAGGTACGTGACCACCCTAAATAAAATTTAATTAACACAAATTATTATTAAATAAATTTTCGAGTATACATCGTAATAAACTGGTTTTCCACCAACCATATATCGTCCATCATTTCTTTCTCCACCTCCAAACAGTCCCAATTTGTACATTTAAAAATTTTTGGCATAAAACGACAAATCATGACAAGTCTAATGACATAAAAGATAATTAAGAATCTAATTTATTTATCCATTTATAACTGTACAAAGTTGTTGATAACATTTTTATTAATAATTATTTATTTACAACTCATCTACATCTATCAAAAATTAAAATCTTGAGAATAATAAGACCTAATAATTTAAAATACTTGGTTGATATCTCAAAAAATGTCTATTTTATAAATTACTAATAGTTTAAAAATTATTAATAACTTAGAATTAAAAAAAAATAATAACACAGACATTGATTAAAAAGCTTCTTTTAAGACGTTCTTTTTAAATTATTTCATTAATTAATCGATCGTTTCCGCCCAAGGATGTTCTATATGTCCATATTGTATCGCATACAATTGATCTCTTATCCTTGCATACAAAGGGCTTTTATGTTCAGTTGTAGGTATTTTAATATCCTGTCCTAAATATGAAATTGACGAAATCGGGCTAACTATACAAGCAGTTCCCGAACCAAACATCTCCAATATTCTTCCTTCTTTATGTAATTTAACCAATTCTTTCATCGTAACCGTTCGTTGATTAACTCGAAATTCGTTCCATTCTTGCGCCATTTCAATAATCGACATCCGCGTAACTCCAGGTAAGATTAAACCGTTTAATGGAGGCGTAACAAGTTCTTTTTCACCCTCATCATTAATATAAAACATAAATACATTCATCGTTCCGACTTCAGTTAATTGATGATCTTCACCGTAAAGCCATAAAACTTGTTGGAGACCCCGTTTAGTTGCTTGATTTTGTACCCGAATCGTTGGGCCATAATTTGAGCCCATTTTTCGATCCCCACACCCGCCGGGCCAAGCTCTTGTGTAAGATGGATCAGCTAAAAGTGAAACTGAATCATTCCCCGTCGAAAAATACGCCCCAACTGGGCATAAGATTGTGAATAAAAGTGCTGATTCTGATTGAGCAACTCCTAAAGTTCCCTAAAATTAAAAAAATTAATTATAAACAAATTTTTTGTGATTAATCTTACATCGATTCCAATAAGAGTTGGGCGAATATACAAAGAAGCACCTTCAGCATGTGGAACCCACTCCTGATCGATAGAAATAAGTCGTTTCATACATTTGGTCATTTCATCATTATGAAAAGTTGGTAATCCGGAAGATTTTGCGGAAAGATTCATCCTATTCATGTTCATATCGGGCCTAAAAATTCTTATTCGACCGTCGACACCTCTATAAGCTTTCATCCCTTCAAATAACTTAAAAAAAAATTAGATTTATATTTTTAAAATCACTTTATTAAATATACCTCAATGGCGTAGTGAAGTACTTTAGCCGCTGGATGCAAAGAAATATTTTCAAATGGAATAATTTCCGGTTTTTGCCACCCCCCTAAAGCTTCATGATAAAAAGCTTTCATCATGTGGTCCGTAAAAACCGAACCAAATTTTAATTCACTCACATCGGGTTTCATGCGGAGTTGATGGGGTTCGGCTAAATTCGTTTTTAAATCTGCAAACTAAACAATAAAAATTATTAATTGCAAATATACTTATTATATTAACTTACCCTGAATGTTTCTAACTGAGAATCACTTTTCTCTTGTTCGTACGGTCTAATATCTTCAACTCCAAGTGCTTCTTTTACTTTTAAATGGCAACTTCTCGCTGCTTGTTTCAATTTGTGTTGGTGTCTCAACAGCCATCGGCAAGCACACTGCAAAACATTAAATATATAATAAGAATTCATTTTAACGAAAGCGTTCTTAAAATGATTCGTATTTCCGAGGTTAAAGACACGATTAACCAGTTTTCAGTAATTACCTTTTACCACTTCAGATAGAACGGGAAGCTGTTAAATGCTGTTAGAACTTGAATTGATTGACGTAGCTCAATAAGAAAATTAAGGTTTAATTATATTTAAAGTATAGGTTTCAAGCTGTGTAAAACCACTTTCGAATATTTCAACACAATTAAAAACAATAATTTAAAAAATACACAAGCGTTTGTGCTTCTTTGATAACCTTGACATTTTGTTATAAATTTAAATCATAGACGCATCGTTCGTTGTTGTTACTAAGAAAGTTTTAATCTCGATATCTTATTCAAAAACAGCAATTAAAGAAAATCAAAAAAGTGAACCTTTTGAACTTTCTACAGACAACCAGTTGCGGAGTTGCGGCTGTTATATCAAGGTCAACAACCAGGTTTATATGAATTATTCAAAAAGACTATAGAATAATAACTGTATACATTCTAGAAGTTATATTCTGGGGAAAACGTTGATAAAAAAATCAAAAAAATGTAAAACGCTACGTAAAAGTTTATGTACTTTGAAGATAAGAAACGGAAAATGATAAGGCATTAAAGGCAATGTTGAGTTAACCTTGAAAAATGAGTTGAGTTTATCTTTTTGAAGTGATAAGGAAGATTTTAAAGAATGCTTGCAAAATATTTCTAAATTTATCATGAACTTTTTAAACACCTTCACAGTTAGCTTTAAACAAATTCATTCTTCATTTAAAACAGATGTTTTTTGAGATATCTGATCCAAAGACAAATCTCAATAACTATCGGGTTAATTTCTCACTCATAAAATAGGCTATATAGATTTCACACCGTTTTTAAAAAATTGCGAAAAATCAGATTAATAAGATATCTTAACAAAATGCTCGAAATTTACAGAAGAAAATATGTACTTTATTATGATCAAACCCGTATTTGAAAATCTCGATTCGTTTTTGAGATATTAATTTTTGAACTCAACCTCAATTTTTATGATTTTATAAAGTTGACAATTTTTTACCAAGTTTTTAAAAAATCGGGAAAAATCGAATTCTTAAGATATCTTGATGAAACGTTTACGATTTATAGAGGAAAGTATGTATTTTATTATGATCAAAACCGTATTTGAAAATCTCGATTCGTTTTTGAGATATCAATGATTGAATCCAACCTAAATTTCTATGATGTCAGAAAGTTAATAATTAAAAAAGATATTACGGAAAAAATAAAGATCCAATTTAGCCAAAATCATACAATTTTATCTGCTTGCTAAATGATCTTCGAAGATTCTGTGTCAAAGTTTTTGGAGCACATAAAGAATCAAATATTGGACTTGAATCTGCACGAAAACAGAAATAAATTGTCCTGGCAATTTTGTTTGACATTTCAGAAGTGTTAGAAATGTTAAATATTGCTAATATCTCAAAAAAGTAATCTCCACGATTCAAAACGCATCTTTTAAGGCATCAATTACTTTCACCAACTAGTACCCACAGCCTTTAAGTCTTCAGCAAGAGCAACAGCTTAATTAACATCATTTTCATCTTTCAAGGTAGACGTCTAAGATAGTGTATTGTTTGGAAAACTTTTAGAACTTGCCAGAAAATCTCAGAGGGCTAATAAACGACAATCAATCAAAAAAATTTTGCTCTTCGTATTGTTTTATATGTTTGAGAACGATTTGTGAGCAATATTTGTTTTTAACAGCCGAAAATCCAAAGATATTTTATACAAATCTTTTTTGCTTTCAAATATTTGAGAAAAACTAACCATACATACTGTAATTAATAAGTAATTTTAAAATCGTTAAAGTGAAAGTGAAAGGTATTAAAGTTGTTTAATGTTATTAAATTAATGTTATTTTTCTTTAAAATAGATCTATTTAAAAAAGACTTATTTTAAAGAATAGACCTTGAGCTGCCTTAATCTTAACGGTAAAAGGAATCCCCATAAATTTTAGTCAGGTCAAAAAAACTGAAAGAATTTAAAAAAATTAAGCAGGTAAACAAGAAAATACAAACCTTTTGAGTTTGAATAACCATTCTTTATCTTCGATGTAATTAAATTCAAAAAAAAAATCGAATCACAAAATTTAAAACTTTTTTTGTTCACTGGGTTCCAAAAAAATACTACTTCTTATTCAAAAACTTGTCAAAATTTCGTTTTCTAATTATCTTAATTATTTTTGATGATGTTTCTTTACGAACGTATGGAATCTCACTAACTTAAAACGCTCCCTTTCTTAAATACTTATTATAGCGCACTTATTTCTGTCTCCCTGCAACCGAACTGAACCGACTTTATCTCTAGTCCGTTTGACGTAACCTGTACAGAAAACAACAACTGAGGCCCCACTCGTTTCAACCTAAAACACATTCCCCCACCACAAACCACCCAAGAAAAAAGCTACAAACTTCGCCAAAATTCGTCGAAAAAAAACTGCGCAGAAAAAAATTCTTTCAGAAAAAAAAAACGTTCTTAAACGTGGTTTGTTGTTTATAAATCTTCCGATTTGTAGGAGGTGTGGCTACCTACGTAAGAAAAGTAGAGAGAAAGGGGGTCGTTTGAACCAAGAAGTTGCGTTGAATCTTGAGAGATCTCAAGTTTTAAACAGAATGAGAGAGATCGAGATATTGACGCGGAGACACACCGCCTCTGACGTGGTGTTTGTCCTCGTTTTTCAAACGTTTCAGGAAAATGAGGTGGTTTAGTGGTCTCTCTCAGTTTCTCTAAGAATCGTGGAAGAAATGAGATGGAGAGAAAATTTTAAGATAAGATATAGGTGTAATTTATCTGTATAGAATAAGAGATTGTCAGACCCCCTGCGAATTATATTACGTTAACCTTAGTTAAAAAAATTATTATGAAATGTTATGCGATGTGGTTTTAAGTTTATATTTTTATATCTTGAGGTGATAAAGCTATTTTCTTTCCAGGTTTCTTCGTTTATGTAGGAGATTAAATGATCATCTGCTATCCTTTGCTATAGGTGATATCATACTGCCATTAAAACTGTATCAGAAATTAATAAATATCTCAAAACCTTGCGTTGAGACAAAAAATGACAAGATTAAGATTAACAAAAGTCATGAAGACTTGTCTAAACTTGTTTAATATTTTCTGGAATTAGGTGAAACGGTTTAAAATCAACTTCTTCTACTTTCAACTAGGAATGCATTCCTGTTTGTCAAGCCTCATGTTTGGATTTTACTCCCTAGACGAAGAGAATCAGCTCTGTGTTCATCTCTTGGGCGGTCGTCCTTGTGGTCTTTTTCCTTTCGGTCATCCACACATGCATATTCTGGCCAATCTCCACTTATTGTCATACCCTGTCTTATCCTGCATGTTTTCATGATTTGTTCCGAGAATATTTTGAAGTCGGTGTCATTTCTATTTCCATTTTTCTGTCTTATTTGAGATGGTGTGTTCTTTAAAATATTCCATCCATTCTGTTTTCCTAAAATCAACTGGATTTATTAAACATGATCAAAATTTTGTCAGAAATGACTAAATATGTTAAAACTTTGAATTAAGACTTTCTGAAATGCTTAAAAATTTGTCTAAATCCTTCTAACATTTTCTGGAATACTTCAAAATAGGTGTAATTTATTCAAAATTACTAGAAATGTATCAGAAATCATTAAATATATCAAAAAATGATTTAGCTGCGTATTAAAAAGTAAACTAAAAACGATCCTCGTCATTATCTCAAACTAAAATTCGTCACATCCACAAGATGATAACGTAAAAAAACATTGCGAAACATTAAAACGTAATAACTACAATAATAATAATCAACACCAACGTAAATCTTAATTTTTCAAATAAAAAGGAAGCATTAAACGTAATTTCGATTTTACGTCCGTTTCGTCTCTGAACATTTTTTGTTTATTAAACATTTATTGTTCTTTTTATGCATTCATGTAACTTAATTATTCCATTTTCCGATGCAATTTTTCCTATTGTTTTTAGCAACGAATAAAACGTAATTATTGCCCTTTTATCAACTCGACACGTGCATTACGGAAAGTTTATCATCATAAATTTGAAAATTCTTTTTTTTAATGGATATAAATTTAACACTATTAAAAAGATGCTCGAATTCTTTAATGAAAAATATTCTAAGCTAATTGAATTTAAAAAATTCTTTGCGAAAACTTTAAAATAGTTCTAAAATACTCGTGTGGTTATTTTAGTCGTAGAAGTCGTTATAAGATATATTTAGGGAGAACCTTCAAACGTGAAATTTGCACTTTCCCCCTAAAAACTATTTTAAATTTAACGAAATATATTACTTTTTTGCCAAGTTAATAAGTTTTAACGATTCTATTAGAAAAACCCGAATTTCTCAATACGACAGTAAACACTTATCAAAAAAAGATAAACAGATCAATTATTAACACATATTTAGCAATACACGTTTTAGTTATAAAAAAAATTGGAGATTTTAGATTAAAAATGAGTTAAAATCTGGGTGTGTCTAATTTTTATACAAAAATAAAACCTATTTCGAGTTAAAAAACATTCTGTTTACATTTCTTTGCCAAGTTTACGTCGAATAGTAAAAATAAACCTTTCTTTCATTTTTAAAATAAATCATTTTAAATTTAAACTTTCCCTCCATATTCACACCAACTTAATAACATTAAATAACCTTAAAATATAGATCTCTACTTTATCGATTATTGAAATGTCAAAACATTTTAAAAATAGCATTAAAAAGTATTAAATCCACATTTATCTTGGTCTTTTTTAATAAGATTGTGCGTAAAACCATTAATTTTTGTAAAAATGAGTGGTTTATTACGTAATTTTATACGTGTAAGTAAAAATTGATTGGTTATAACCTCACTTTTTATTCTAACCTAATTTTGTTGTAGGTAAAAAGTATTAATAATCATAATAAGTGGTTATTTACAACGGTCAAATTAACTAGAGAACCGGATGATATCGTTCATTTCCCTGATAAACCCACTGTAGCTATCAAAGAATATGAATCACCTCGAGAAGAATCCATGGACACTCAACGAGCTAGGTTATTGTATCAATCGCGAAAAAGGGCTATTTTAGAAAACGATTTATTATTAAGCAATTTTGCTGATCAATATTTAAAAAGATTTAACAAGGATCAATTAGATTCTTATGATAAGTATGTATTTAATGTTAAATGATTCTTTTTAATTTAAATAAATTCTTTTTAGTTTAATCAATCGCGCTAGGAACGATTGGGACATTTTTTATTGGATCACTAATAAAGAACCAACCCCTGAAGAGTTTCAAAGTGATGTCTTGGAAATGATTAAGAAATTTGTTGGGAGCAGACTAGGAAAAGGAACACTTAGACAACCCGATTTAAATTAAAATGGTTTTGAAAAAACCATCGTTACTTTAGTAACATTAGTTGGTGTATATAAATAAAGATTTATATTAAAATTATTTTCGAATATGGCAACCAAACTTCCTCCCCAACATTCATCAATGTCCTTAATGCTTTTTAGGTTGCATATATATCAAGGAATTAAATTCATTTTAAATCGTAAGCAACCAAACTTGTTTTAAAACTATTTAGGTTGCTTATATATTACAACAAAAATGTTATTTCTCATTTAAAGAGAATGAAATATATCTTAATTAATTAATTGGGTAAATTGATGGATTTAAAAATAAAAAAATTGTCGAATTAATATTACGATTGGATCGAAAAAGTATCGAGAGTTTTCTGCTTATTTTCTTATCTATTAATAGATAGATTTATAAATAACCCTAGACAGTTTACATTCCAAAGCCAAACTGACCGCTTCGACGTGAATCTTCAGCGAGTTAAAACGATTTTTCGTTTGAAAATTTAGTTAAAATTTGAAACGTTAAATCGACCGGGAAAAATTTGGAAGCGAATCGTTTTATTGACGGTCATCGTTGTCGGCCAAATTTTTGTGTCTTGTAAAGACGGAAAATTCGCACGAATCGATTGCAACAGAAATAAATTCTTGGCTGGGCGCCGTCGAGGTGTAGGCCAAGTTTTATTTACAACGGGGGCAATATTTATTTCTAAATATCCAATTTTGTTGAACACAAAAAGGATTTTTCGTGAATGTGTATCTTCTAGGATTACGTTTTAAATTAACCGTAAACGATTCGAACAAATATTACGTAATTTAAAACGTATTTGTATTCGATAATTTCTATTTTTATAACGACTCGTTACCCATTAACTGATAAAACGCGGAATTCGAATTTCAAATAAATCTTCATCAACGACAAAAAATATTAAATATTTATCTTGCAATCAAAATAATTTATGATTAAGTTTAAAAAAAAACGATATAAACTATTTATTTAGAAAGGAAATATTGATTCATTTCTTGGCGTGGGCGATATGCCTTCAATTTACCAAAACAAGAATTTTTCATCGACTTCATTACGATGCAGTGACTCACCGGACTACACGAATGTATGACGTAGCTCGTACTTATTACAATGTCTCAAGACTATTTTTGTCAATGAATGCTTCACTTTGAAAATTAAGATAAAGCATATTTAAAAAAATTATTTTTAGCACTTATTGTGTTATCTAATATAGTTAATACATTAGCACTTATTTTATCAGAAAGTGAATAAATTGTTTAGTCTATACTGATATCAGATTATTATAATGGTTATTTTGAATTATCAATTTTGATTATTTTTTGAATACTAAAACGGAATACAAAAACATTTATTGTTGGATATTGAGGATAATCTTAGCACCAATATACTTTAGTTGTCAAAAAATAGGTGTCCATATAAACGTCTTAGAAAATATAATTTGTATGCATACAAGTACAAAATCCTGACTTTTCTTTTCTAGCTCTCTTCCTTTACAAGAGCGTACAACATTTTTGGAGCTCGAACGTCAAGAATACAATATTTGTTGCAAACATTTTGTGAGAAGTTGAGTATGGTTGCTTAATGCAACAATATGCATTAACACATTGCCTTGATAACACGATAAGGACTATGAACTATGAGTAATAAATACAGGAAAAGAATCAGTGGGATGCCCAAAAAGAGGAAGTAGAACGATTAAAAAAGAAGGACATGGCGAAGATGTCTCAAGACGCTCACTTTTTGTTCAAAAAATAATTCATAAACAACAAATAAGAGTGTGACATTGAGCTTTATAAATCGTTTTTCCTGAAAGTTTAAATATCTAATAAAAGAAAGATCCAGAAACAAATATGCATGAGCCAATAAAGAGATACAAAAAAGATTTGTGGAATAAAATAAAAAAAGGCAAATTAATTTAATAAAAATAATCACAAAATTTCGTTACTAAAGTTGTTTTTGTATTCAAATTTTGAATAATTTCAAAAATAACATTAGATTAATCTTCACATTCCAAAACAACTGCATAATATTTCAATTTTGCATTCGTAAGATAACTTATCTTCCTTTATAGCTTTTAATTAATAAAAAAAATCATTAAGTCATAATTTGAAAATAAATCTTGACTCAACAACAAAAATTTTCATCCCAAATTAGTCCATATACACAACAAATACCATATAAAATATTAAAACATCGTGGGAGAGCCAACGTCTTTCTTTTTTGTATTTTTCTAGAATAAAATCCCCCTATTGTAGTACATCAAAAACGTAGGTAACACAAACAGCGCTTGCGCTTTGCCATCGGTCTATTTAAATCCCGTTGGGGGGCCCAACCCGAGTCACGAAACCGACACTCACGAGAAACTCCAAGTTATAGTGAAGAGATTCTGTCGTTCAGTTCTCATCGTGAATTAAAAAAAAATTAAAACGTTATATATAAAATTTTCGTACGAGTGCGTCAATACTTACACCGATCGTTAAAGAAATTGTGATTTGGAAGATTTTTGAAGATGTCTCAAACGGTTAAACGCGATATTCCCATTAAATTGGGCGATTTTAGCGTCATCGACACCGAATTTAGCAACATCCGTGAACGTTTCGATGCGGAAATGCGTAAAATGGAGGAGGAAATGAGCCGTTTCCGCTCAGAACTCATCAATAGGGAATCTCAAAATTTTTTTAGATCAACTACAAGGTAAATTTAAAAATATTTATATACTAATATGAGTTTGTTTGTATTATATTTCGGGTAGGGTATATCTAAGTTGCTATGGCTACTAAAAATTAAGATCAATAATTTTTAAATTTATTTTTTTTTTATTTATTGTTAATTATTGAACCCCCACGCGATTTTTTAAACCTATTTGTATGCACACGAACCTTATATGGTTCGTTAGGTTGAAAACTCGTTTCAAGATATGGGTTAAGTTACGGTTATTTTTTTTCACTTTTTAATACATGTTTTTTTTAACGTCTTGTACACATGTTACGTTATCGCGTTGATATGTTATTAAAAACACGATAGTTTTCGTTTTAAAAACGCCGATAACGTAATAATCGTTTGAAATATTTCAGATATCAAGTTTTAAATTCGAAACGCTTAAAAAACTAACTTAAGTTAAAGCTTACCTGTATCACAAAAACGACGATTATTTTGGTTTTAATTAATTAAAATTTGATTACTAACAGCTTCTTTTAACTTGCATGTCTTACGAATGCGAAACAATTTCGGGAAAGGATGGTAACACTAAATCTTCATCGAGTAGCAGGTAAATTCGATGTCTTTGTGAATGTTCCCAACTTCTTTAACCTAATTATTAAAAAATTGTTAAAAAAAAAAAGAAATAAAAAAATTATTTTATACCCTTTTTTTTAATTAGCACAACAACTTCATCTTCAACAAATCAAACATCCGGAGGAGATGTTTGCGCCCGTCCAGGTGGTGGTGGTGGTGAAGTAAAAACGTGGTTAGACGATTTAAACTCGCCATTAGTCCAAGGGGATGGCGATAAAAAAAGTTTGATGTTGAGATTCGACGTCAGCCAATATACTCCGGAAGAAATCGTTGTTAAAACCGTTGATAATAAATTATTGGTTAGATTAAGACTCATTCTTTAACCCCATTTATTATTGATTTACATTTCTTTTAGGTACACGCTAAACATGAAGAAAAATCTGAATCAAAATCGGTTTATAGGGAGTACAACAGAGAATTTTTGTTACCAAAAGGTACCAATCCGGAACAAATAAAAAGTTCTTTAAGCAAGGATGGCGTTTTAACCGTTGAAGCTCCACTTCCGGCCATTACTTCCGGAGAGACCATGATTCCAATTCAGCACTGATTAAAATAAACCCGTCAAAAATTGATTAAATGGGGTTTTAATCGCACTTTTTGTAATACTCTTGAATTCTTTGACAAAGCGAATTTATAATATTTTTTAGTTTTTTTTTTTAATTAATTTTCTTTTGGTAGCTACGCGTTTTTTAGGACGTTTCTAATTTATTTGTGGAATCGAAATTTTAATTTAAATTAACTATACACGAAGTTGTAGTGTTGGGAATTAAAATGACAAAATTGTATATGTATATTTATATAATAAACAAATATATTCAAAAATGCAATTTTTTCTTAAATTTACATTTTTAAGTTCTTAAATTAGCTAAAGCCTTATCTAAGATATCTTTTTTAATCTTAGGATACTCTGGATTATTTTTTAAAACAATTTGACAAACATCAATAGCATCAGCGTATCGTTTTCCTTTCAAATGACAGTGAGCTAAACGATACCCAATAACGGCATTCGATTTCCCGTTAAATTTCCATGCTGAATAATACATTTGAGCCGCCTCTTTATATTTTTGTTCCTTCTCAGAAATGTTTCCATAAAATTCCAAAGCTTTGCAACACGCCCGGTTATGTTGCAAAATTTTCTTCAACAATTCCAACGCTAAATCATATTTAGACGATTTCATATAATAATCAGCCAATAACAACCAACACCTTTCTAAATATTCGGCGTCTTCAAACGACCAAACCGATTTCATCACCCTTTTAAGTTGATTTTTAGCCCGCTGACTTTGTTTTAATAAAGTATGCGCTAAAGCAATACCTAAAATAGGGCCCACATTATCTTTATAACGATCCTGAGACGCCAGCGATATAAAATCTTCGAGGGCTTGTTCAATCGAAGGTTTCTCTTTGGTGGCGAGTAATAAAAAATTCTTAAATAGCTTATATTTTAATTGATCCTCGCCGGTCGAGTCAATTTTCGATTTTAATTCTTTTAATAAACGATCCGCCGTTTTTAAAGCCATCGAACGCGAATCTTTGTACTCGATATCATCGATATCGATAAAATGTTCACCCAAAATCTCATCTTCAGGATTTAAACAAATCTCGATCATGTTGTAAATCGCCTGGCGATTCCAATCTGAACTTTGACGGGCGATGTTAAAATTTCTTAGAGCACCATTTAAATTCCCCGAGTACCATTGGTATAAAGCTAATGAATAACAAAAACCTGGACAATAACAAAAAATTTATTATTACTATTTTAAATATTACTTGGTTTATTTATTATAATTAATAAGGAAATTAAGGAAGGAACAAATCCCATATAACTTGACTATTAATTTTGACATTTCTTAACTACCAGAGTTGACTCATTATTAAATTTGACGTGTATTTATTAAATACGTAGTTTCAAAGTCGAATTTGATCTGACGTGTTCATGTTGAAACTTTCTAGTTCTAGTTTTAATTGTCATTCAGCACTAGATTGTTGTATATCTTTATTGAAGTAGTAGAAACGTATTAGAAAAGAATCATTTGGGTTTAGTCGTCTTAAGAGACGTAAATGATAATTAAAGTTGTAGTTTATTATCTAAAGTTGTAAAAAAGTTAACAAATTAATAAAATAATTTTACCTGGATCTTTTGTAGGAATAAAAATTTCTTTTTCAGCATTCTCTAAATATTTTAAAACATCCTCAAGATTCCCAGTTCGACGCATTATCTCAATAAATCTAACTAAAGCACGCCAATTTGTTGGTTGTTTCGATAAAAGTTGAGTAAAATGATAAATAGCCATATCAAAATCAACCTAAATGATATTACAACAAAAAATGTTTATTAAAATTTAAAAAAATTAATAATTTTTACCTTTCTGAATGCAACATCGGCCATAAGAACCGTTCCATCCTCGTTTTCAGGATCGATACTTAATAAATTATTACAAGTCTGTTGACATAACTCCATTTTATTCATTTGCATATAAAGTTTAGCTAAACAACCCAAAATCGTACAATTATCCGGGGAAATAACTAAAGCTTCTTTGTAAAATTTAATTGCTTGGTCGAAATCTCTCGATTCAATTGATAAATTAGCTAATTTTTGATATAAATTTAATGAAGAGATCATTTCTTCATCGGTTAAAGTCATCCTTTGAACTGAATATAATTTATTTAATCTCGATTGAGTTTCGGATGTGTTTATTAAAACATTTATCGTTTCGGCATTGTTGGATTTCTCGTAAGTTTTCGCTAATAACTTTTGTAGCTTAATTAAATATTTTAACGAGGTTTGGTCGGAAATTCCTTTATTTTTTTCGGCATCAATTTCGTTTTTCAAAAAATGTTCCGCGTTTACATATTGTTTCAATTTAATATACAAATCAGCTAATTGAAGTTTCATCGATGAATCATCGGTTAATTTGATCGTTTCAATGTAATAATTAATCGCTTTTTCATAATTATGGGTAATTATTAAAGCTTCCCCCATTTTTTTCGTTAAAAACGGATCTTTCGGATTCATTTTTAACGCGGTTTCATACGAATTTAAAGCATTTTCTAGTTCCAAAATGTTTAAATACGCATCACCTAATAATACGTAACTTTCCGCGTCGGGGATTTTATTAACTAATTCTTCGTAGCATTTCAAATAAGCTTGTTTATCTTTGCGTTGTTTTAAATAAATTTGAGCTAATTTTGATTTGGCTTCTAAATAATAAACATCGTTTGGTTTAATTTTGTTTAACATATCAACAGCTGTTTGTATTTCTTTATTTTTAACCATTTCATCAGCGCTTAATAAAATAATTTTTGCTTCTTCCGGAGTGTCCTTAAATTCTTCGATTGCGTCTTGAAGCAATTTCGAAGCTTCGTGAATTTGTTTTAATAAATTATGCATGTTTATTAGTTCAATGTAGATTAAGCTTTTATCGGGTAAAGAAACTTCGTCGATGAAGCTCTTTTTTTGCTTTAAATTTGCGAGGTTTAGAGCCATTGTGAAGTATTTAATGGCTTCCTCGTAATTGTTTTTATGTTTTTCGATTAATCCTGATATTAAATGAAACAACGAGTTTTCTCTTACTTTAAAATTGTAACTTAAACCAGCCTCTAAGCTTTGTTCGGCGCGATCGAATAAGTTTTTATCTAATTGTATTTGTGCCATCAACAAATAAATTTCGCTGGAAGGATTTTTGTTGATTTTGATTAAATTTTCGATTATGTTCATTGCCTCGGCACTATCTCCTTTGAAATAAAGTATTTTCGCTTGTAAATGTTGAGCTTGATCGTTCCCCGGGCAAGATGACGTGATTAATTTTAATATTTCAAGTGATTCTTTTAAAGATTCATCCCCTATTTTAGTCGTTTTAAAGTTTTGTGCTGTACAAGAAAATGAAATGACACTTAAAAACTCTTGGATTAAATCCATAAGGAAAATTGGGTTTAACAATTTCAAATAATCAACGCCGAATGAATAAAAACGGATTTTTTTGAGATGGGCGCTTTTAGCTAGCTTTAAAAATTTAATTTTCGTCTCATTCTGCTCAGAAATTTTCGCTTTCATATAAAATAACACCGCGGGGATTTCGCGTTCTTGTAACTCCATCAAGAAATCAATTTGATCGTTAACGTTATTAAGATTCTTTTTGTTAACATTCTCAAGTAACTCACATAAAGAAGAACCGATTAAAGCGTCAATACTAGAATCGTTTAACTTTAAAACCGACTTAAAATAATAACTGGCTTCTTTAAAATTATTTTGTAACAAACATTGATAACCCATTTCAGTTAAAAATTCGTTACATCCCGGTGATTTACTCAAACATTTCTCGATCATTTTAAAAGTTTCCGTTAAAATAACGAGGTTTTTAGTAATTCGCGAAAATAATTTTGCATTTTCTAACAAAATTTCGGGATTTTTCGCCTCGGAATTTTCAATTTCGTTGATTAATTTTTTAATAAAAATAGAAGCCTCGTCGAAATTCGAATCGCGACACAAAAAAATTAAAACATTCATTCTAACGGCTTCTAAATTGTTCAGATCTAAATCAAAAATGCGATTAATTATTTCTAAGGTCGCTTCGAAATCTTTTATTGAAAATAAATACTTCATTTTCGCTATTAACGGTAAAACGTTTGAAGGAAACCGAACTATTGACTTGTTTATAAACGATAAAGCATCGTCATAATTATTTTCGCTTATTAAACTTTGCGTCACCCCAAAAACTGCGTCTAAATCCCTTGGGTTATCGTTTAAAGTTTTTTTAAATAATTCGGAAGGGTTTTTGTCGATACTTTTCCCAATTTGTTTTAAATTAATTATAATCCAACCTTTTAAAGCAAACCCTCGGGGAAAAGCTTCGTTTTTTAATAAACTCTTATCAATAAACTCCAAGCTTTTCTCATATTTACCCAAAACGAGCAACAAAAAAGCTGTGTAATAATAATCTAAATAATTAGCATTCCTTTTTAACTCCTTCAACTCATTTTCAAACCCACCCTTTTCATTATTACTTAAATTACTAAATTTATTAACATAATAAGCTCCAATTAGCGATGATAACCTCAAAGAATCTTCACTCCTCAAACTTTCAAATTCTTGCAAACTTTGTTGATATCGCTTATTTAATAATAAAGCTAAAGCGTAATGAAAATTAAATTTAACTTCGTTGTTATGCTTTGATAATGCATCTTTAGAAACGGTTAAAAGGTTATTTAGATATCTTTCACGGTAAAGATAAAAAATTAAATTTTCTGTATCAAAAGGATCCATTTTAATGTTACAATAGTTGCTTTATTTAGATCTTAAGCTCTAAACGTCCATGTGTGTTCAATTACATAGGGATGATACTTATCGTAGTTCTTCTTATAAAAGTCTTGAAGAAATTCGCAAGTTAACTTCATACGCCACTTTTGTTCGATGATGTAATCAAATGTTTTCTAAAAAAAAATAAAAAATTAGAATTAGATTTTAATATTAAGAGAAAAGGGATAAAATGGGAGTAAAACCTCTGCGAGTACACCAGAATGCCCTAACCCACGGAATTGGCGGGGAATTTCAGTTTCGTTTAAGTGGAGAATACCATTTTCTATAGTATACCTAATTATTCCCCAATCATCACAAGGGGGACATCCTAATCTTAACATGAACTGTTTAAATTTAGGCAAATGCTTGAATGTATGCATTGTTTTAAAGTGAAACGAAAAATTTTACCTTTTTATCATCTAAAATTGACAGTTACACAAAAACATGAATGTATGAAACGTGTGTTGTCATGACAACCAATTGACCCCATTATTTTTTGTTAGTGCGCCATCTATGATTGAATCGACGAAATTTATACTTACAACAAAATTTAAATAAATAAATTTTATTAATAAATGTTTGTAATATTATTACCTCAGCAAAAATAGATCCAATTCCATGTCCTTGATATTTATCAGGAACAACGGTGTGTCTTAAATCATACACGTCATCGGTATTTGCATATTTCATTGTAGCGTAATCACCTTGGGGTAATTTTAAACGAAACATACTATCGCTGGTTATTTTTTCGATGTTGCCTTTTAACACAAAATCACGAATGCTCGTTGACATAGTTCTCGTCCACATTTTGAATAAACTAGACTAGACTGAAAGAAAAACTGATATAATATGAGCAAATTTTAACTTCTCTCTAACCTTTAAAAAGGACGTTTAAAAAAACTGTTGACTTCCAATAATAACTTGTTTATGAGGTTTAAATCGAGATTATTTACGTTTTTCTAAAGTTAGGTTAGAAAACGTTAATGTATAAAGTCCATCACTCCCAAAAGATTCAAGGTCACTACTTTTAGGTTATATTTTTAGGTTATACTTTTAATAAGCAACAATATATCTCCGATAAGCATATCTGTGTTGATTATAATATCCAATTAAGAAATCACATGTAAGTATCATTCTCAGGTCGTTCGTTGCTATATAATCGAAAGTTTTCTACAAATTTTAATTATTAAAAATTTCATACATATTTTTAAACAAATTAATTTCTTTACCTTTGCTAAAATACTAGCATATCCTTGTCCCCGGTGTTCTTTAGGTATATAAGTGTTCATCAAATAATAAATACCATGTCTATAGCTATAAGATATTTTTCCATACTCTCCATTAAGTTTTAAGAGAAAACAACCAAGGTGGGGCGCATTATGAACAGACATTGATGAGAATTGTTAATAAACGCAGAGAATTTTGAATTATGTATCGAAAAAATATTGAAAATGTCAAATTGTGATTGACTTTGAAAATAAAACAAAAATGTTTTTGATGTACTTTATTTATTGACCTAAATAACAACAAAATTAACCGTGAACATTAACAAATTAATTGTACATTTGTTTTAAAACCGCCAAATACGAATAAGACGTCCTTAAAATCATCATTAACGTCCCCAACGTTAAATTAAAGAATTTCCCAGCTGTCAAAATCGTTGGGATTTTGGATCGTTCCATAATGATGAAGAGATATTTGTTTACATTTGGGTTTAAAGTGTTCCATTCGGACATATAACAAGCTTCACCAACTCCACTACTCTAAAAAAAGAATATAATATTAAATTTAAAGTATATATAGTACATTTCTTTTTAATGTTAACAGATACACAAAATATTAATAAGTTACAATACTCAAAAAACTACAAGAATCAACAGAAGGCTTCATTACATAACTCATTCTTTCAGTGTCACGTCAAAACAACTATCTGTAATGGATCATGGACCACTGCGAGCTATCGCCATTGTGTGAAGTGGCCATAAATGGTAGATAATGGTGATGGTAATGGCAAAGAATGGCTTTGAAGCAGTCGAACACCACACATCATAGGGTGCACATAGCCGAGGCAATGCTGTGATTTGGCAGAGATGGTATTGGGGTTTTCCTAGACGATGTTAAGAATTATTGATATTAAAAGATGCCTTGGACGATATTAAAAGATGCCTGGGACGATATTAAGATTCTCTGGCACTAGCTGTCCGAGATGATGTTGAGATCAATTACTAGATTTATACAAGACATTCTGTGGAGCGATTTACAGATGATAAAGTCAATTTCTTGCCAATTTCGAGATTTTTTGAGCATATTTGGGACACTATGGAGATAACCTGCGAAAAATCCGACATCATTCGCCAACACTGCAAGCTTTTCATGATTTATGACAGGTTGCTTGAACCACAATAGTTCAGGAAATCGCAAGAAACGCAACCACAGAACCTCCATATGTCGTTGCATCCATCTTAGCTTAAATTTGTTAGATATACCTATTATTGTAAACAATATGGAGTGTTTTATTTTAATAGTATCTTATTGTTAGTTGAGATTAGTAAGTCATTAACTAACATAATGTCAATGTTTTTGAAAAAGAATCTACACATTTCCCGAAATACTTACATTTACATTTTAACTTACATTTTAATAACTTACCTTATCTAAAATGTCATGTCCAAACCAACTGTAAATAGCAACTTGGTTTAAATTACAAAAAAAGTACAGAACTAAAGTGACGTATTGGATTTTTTTCGGGGACATCTAAAAAAAATTGATTACATTTTTGAGTAATTAATAACGTTTTTTTTTTTTTGATTTACAACAAATACTTGAAATCCCGTTACACACATTATAATGATGCTGCAAAGAAATTGGATGAAAATTCCAGTCGAATACATCTCTTCAATTTCTTTAACAAAACTAAAAATTTAAAAATTAATAAACATTAAACGCAAATAATTTATTTAATTACTTTAAAATCATGTTATGGTGATCGATATTCCTTCGTAATCTTTTAGTAATAAGGCGATTCTTATCTTTTTCATTTTTTGGTAAATCATTAGTTACATTTTGTAAATTATCTTTTAAAATTTCGAATTGGGACGATGCCAAACTTATCATCGCTGCGTTTATGCAGTCCAAACTTGTGTGATTGTAACCGTTTAAAATTAACGCGCAAAGTTGATAAACGTAAATGATAAATTGATATTTATCTGTGTTGATGGGAAACCAACCTGGTAAAGGGGTAGTGTGCTCGATGTAAGGAAAAATTGCGAAAAAAATGATTGTTAAACCGACTGATGTTCGATACATCGTAGCGAAAAAGGCGGTCATTTTAATTGCTCGAACAATAAATTTATCCTGGTTCTCGGTGTGAATGTTAAACATTGGTTGTTTTAAGTAATTCTCTAATAAATCAAATTGTTTCCATCTTGCTAACATGTTAAATGTTTTCCATAAATACGTGGTTTGAGTTAAACCAAAATAAAGACATTCGAGAATTTCGGGTAGATTTTTGATTTCCACCCCGATTTTCATCACCATCGATATTATTAATGTTATAGAGATCGTTGTACTTATCGTGCATTTTATTAACAATTTGAAAGTAAAAGAATCTTTCCCGATTGGGTAACCGAAAAATTTTAGAATTGCTTTTTCCGTTTTGAAAGCATCAAAATGACTTGGCCTCTAAAATAATTATATTAAAAATTACTTTTGGATTATATCAACAAATTTTACCTTCATTCTTTTAACAAAAAGCTTTAACGAAGTAACTTTAAAATTAAGAAAATTCTCATTATATATTATTATAAGTGAATTAAGCTTTTATGAGTTAATTTGCGTAATTTTCTAATTCGCTTATTATAACTACAGAAATTATTAATTAAAATAAGTGCAATTACATTGAAATTAATTCATTTTAACGTGGGATTTTATTGTTTTTGATACATCTGTCGAAGAACTGCGAAATACGAATAAGCACTCCTTAAAATCTAAAAAAGAATAATAATTAAACATGTATTATTAAATTATTAAATAATTAAATCATTACAGACATAAACGTGGCTAACGAAAGAGTAACAAAATAACCAGCTGTTAAAATAATCGGCCTCTTCGCTCTTTCCATTATAATAAAAAGCATCTTTTTATTTTTAGTGTTAAAATCGGTCCAATTCGACATGTAACAACATTGCACCAAATCGGAACTTTTCTCCAAAATGATTTGACCGAACCATTCGTAAATTGCGATTTGGAAAACCATCGTTATAAAGTAAAATGTCATCAAGAAAAATCGCAAACTTTTCACTGGGGTCTAAAAACGATCGAAACGTTACGTCTCTTTATCTGTACAAAAATAAAGTTTTTTGCTAACAATAAGAAATTGAATGCCCGTCATGCACAAGATAATCACACCGGAAATCATTTGGAAGAAAATTCCGTAAGTGAAAATTTCTTCGACGCGTTGAACGAAACTGAAAATTAAAAAAAAAAAAGAAATAGAAACAATAAAATATAGAAGACGATACTAATAAATGTTTGGAACATTGTTGATGACGACATTGACTTTGAACATTGTTGGATACCAGGGATGGGTTTGAAAGTTATTCGAGATGACGTGAATGTTGAGATGTAGAATAACACTAGTCTACAAAAAAAAAAATCATAAAATGTACATCTGACGCCACTGTATTTTTCTTATGTAGTTTGGTCCCCTAAACCCAAAAATCACATTTAAAATTTTTTCTATGGATACGTTTTGGAGCTATGAATTTTTTTTTTTTTTTTAGAGGTACTTTGACTATTTGCAGCATATCTCGAGTTAGAGATGACCGATCTGGTGGTGCTATTCATCAAATTAAAGAGTATTGTACAGCACATAATAAATGGTATTAATGCTTATTCCAATCGGTTCGGTAGTTTTAAAACAATGACCCATAATATGTGAAAAAAGGATTTCTTTAGACAAAATATGAACCAAAAATTCATTCAATATCCGTGTAGAGTCGCAGAAAAATTCTTTTTTACTTTCTATGTAAAGATTGCTCTTTTTAGAAGACAATAAGGTACACAGGATGAGAATCGGTGGAGAAATTACCAAAAATTATGATCTTCTATATGTGAGAGCACAGCTTTTTTTAAAACGGTTTTTTAATCAAAAATGACAATACAAAATTACAAAAAAGAGAAACGCAAAAATTTCGTCTTATTGTTTACATACAGTTTGTACTATTACAATAGGAAGACAGTATTTACGACCAAAGCCTATAGAGAAATATCGAAATTATGATCATTTGTGAGTCAAAGTGCCAACATCCAGCTTTTCCTGTTTCTGTAACTTTTCTCAAAAAGCACGAAATACAGTTCTTCATTCAGTTTATTTTGATTGTAACACTTAGGTATTTATAAAATAGTATGCACAAGTCTTAGAAATAAGTTTGCCCCCCGCTTTGCCTTCTGTTTCTTTGAGAATCCGTCTCTCTTATGAGGAACCAGATATAGTCTCCCATCATTCTTTCATCCCAAATTCCCTGATAACGCCGCTCAATGTTCTTCATTTGTTGGTGGAATCTTTCGCCATGTTCGTCACTTACGTCACCAAGATTCTCCGGGAAGAAATTTAAGTGTGAGTGTAAAAAATGAATTTTTAGAGACATATTTACACCTGTTGGAAAAAATTAAAATAAAATTAAACGTATAACTGAAAATAATGAAATAACGTGTATTTGTAAACTGCCTGCATCCCCATAGCTTTTGAAATGTACATCGAAATTAAATTCAGAATAAAAAACGTGTCATTCCTTCATTGTTTTTTTATTCTGAATCAAAATGTCTCTTAACTCGGAACCTGCAGGGATGCCGGTACTTTACGGATACCCGGAATAATAATAATAATGATCTATACCCATTTTTGCATAATTCTGAAGCAAATTTTCAACAATTGTCTCGTAATTCGGGCTTTTATTGTTTCCAAGAAAATCAGAAACAATTAACTGAAACGAATTCCAGGCTGCAGCTTCAACGGATGATAAATAGGTTTGAAATTTGTCATCTTTTAAAAGTTTTTTTATTTGTGGACCGTTGAAAACACCTTCCTTGATTTTTGCGAATGAAAGATTTTCAAATAAGGTTCTTAAATAAGCAAACGCTTGGCCTTCTATATCCAGCGCTTTCACAAAATTCTTGAAGAGTCCAAGTTTAATATGTAATGGCGGGAGAAGGATGTTTTCTTTTTTAATAAGAGGCAAGTATTTAATGTTGCCCTCGCCGAGGGTGTTGCTTTTTCTTTCCTTGCGCGGCTGTCCCAAAGACAAAGGAAACAACAATATTTCGTGTAGCCGCTTTGTAAACCACATAACATGCCTGTGACTTTAAATCGGCACAAACTTTCCAGTCATGGTCTTCGTAATTAAGAGATTTTAATAGTTTAACCATTGTTTCGTACGATTCTTTGGTATTTACAGCATGCGCGATCGGAATTGATGGTTTTTCATTTCCATTATGCAAGAGAACTGCTTTCAAACTACTTTTATTGCTATCAATAAATAACCGCCACTCGTGTGCATTATAAGGCTGGCCAAGCTCCTCGAACAAACCGGGAATGTCTTTGCAAAAGCATATGTTATCAGTTGACGTATAATACTTTGTGTAAGGCCTGTCACGGTCTCTGTAATATGTTACTTTAACACTCGTATCCAAAAAGTGATATTGCTTCATACGAGATGCATGTAATTCTGCTTTCTCCTTTGAAAGCTCCAAGTCTCTCACCCAATCATTCAGTTCTTCCTGTGTTAGAAGATGCTGTTCATGCTGTCCTTGACATTCAGTTAAATCACTTCGGAAATCTGACGTATCAGTACTTGAGGACTGAGATAAATCAGGGCAGTTGGGGATGGGAAGTGTATCTGAATGCGGAACTGGAAACGTGACAGATGGTACATTTGCATAAACCCATCGCATATTTTTCCCAATTCCGGTTTGTTTACTTAGGCAAAAGTAGCAGTCGGTTGTATGACAAAGTGGTTCTTTCCAAATCATTGGTACGCCAAATTTCATGTACCGCCTAACGTTAAAAAAAGTTATAAATTATAAAGTATTTTTAACATGAAATACATACCCTGGCGCGCCGGAGGCCCATCCACTAAGATTTATATGACAATTAAGACATAAAAAACTTGGTGTCCATTGTTCTTGAAGATTCTCAGCTGGTATTCCAAAATATTGGAGATAATTTTCTTGTACCGAATTAGTAAATTTACGTATGTTTTTCTTGACGACATATTCACCACACACATAACAGAAATTAAGGGGGTCGTTTTCACACTCAAAAATTCGTTGTCTTTTACTCATTTTATAATCAAGCATGCAATTAAACTATATTATACGATACAATTTGTGAACAACTGTTTAACGCTGAATATGGAACTCGAATGAATAACTTTAGCAATCTTAGTCTCCACGAAACCTTCCCTTACGGTACAGTGGGGGTTTTTATGATGCTCACTTTTTTCTTAACATTCCGGGAAAAAACCTTTTCATTTGTCCACGAGAAACGTATTTATTTTAATATTGTTCAAGTAGGTAAAAAAAGATGGGACAAACCTGTGTGCGAAGAACCTTTGTTCTAAAACCGATAGTTTTCCAAGAATAATAAAATGCACTGATACCTCAAATATCCTTTTTCAAGTAAACTTAATTCACTGAGTAAAACGGCAATATACGTTAGGAATACCGAAAAATATAGAAACAGGAAAAACCTGGGCATCTTCCTATTGTAAAAGTACAAACCTTATGTAAAAAATAAGACGGAATTTTTGCGGCTCTCCAAGGTGTTTAAGTGAGTTTATGTGATTTTTGATTAAAAAAACCGTTTTTCAATTCAAATATCCAATAAAAATTGCAGTATTCCGTTTAAAATAACGAAGTTGTAGGCTACTTCCGGTACACTGGATGTGGCAGCCATCTTGAAATTATTTTAAATCGAAAGATTGGGATGAATAGAATAGCTCCTATACGTAAAATCTCAGAAACGTATGAAACATGAAACCTAAAAATTTCTAACGGTACACTTGCGCGGAATTTCTTGTACAAGAAAAAGCTGTGCTCTCACATATAGAAGATCATAATTTTTGGTAATTTCTCCACCGATTCTCATCCTGTGTACCTTATTGTCTTCTAAAAAGAGCAAACTTTACATAGAAAGTAAAAAAGAATTTTTCTGCGACTCTACACGGATATTGAATGAATTTTTGGTTCACATTTTGTCTAAAAAAAATTCTTTTTTCACATATTATGGGCCATTAGTTTAAAACTACCGAACCGATTGGAATAAGCATTAATACCATTTATTGGCTATACAATACTCTTTAATTTGATGAATAGCACCACCACATCGGTCATCTCTAACTCGAGATATGCTGCAAATAGTCATAGTACCTCTAAAAAAAAAAAAAAATTCATAGCTCCAAAACGTATCCATAGAAAAAATTTTAAATGTGATTTTTGAGTTTAGGGGACCAAACTACATAAGAAAAATACAGTGGCGTCAAATGTATTTTTTTTTATAGACTAGTGTAATCAGGAATGTTTGGCACGATGTTGAGATATGCTAGGAATGATGCTATGAGATGTCTGGGATGATGCTTATGTGTGGTACTGAGAGGTATCCGACCATGTAACCATGTCGATGGCTAACAGAGACAATATTAAACCAATATCATGCCTGGTACACGGATGCTTTAAAGGCAGTTGGATCCGGAGTAGGCATTCATTTCAGGAATGGTATGAAGGTGATGTTTATGGGTATCTGCACTCATATTGAACTGATAGTGATGAAAAGTCAGATTGGATAATCTTGAGATGTGCCAGGGGGCAATTATTAAAGGATGTCTGTACTCAACTCTAAAATGGCGTTGTGATACTTAACACATTTTTGTAAATTCTGCTCAATTTCTTCATCATCGTGACCTAAATGATTCTCAAGGTAATCTTTAAGTATTTCAAATTGAGCGGAAGCGACGTTAACCAAAGCCACACAAATACAATCCAAAGACATGTTGTTGTAAGCGTTTAACATAAAACAAACCAGCTCGTATATAAATTGACCGTAAAGATATTTCTCCGGATCGAAACCGAAATAAACCGGAACCATTAAATGTTTAGTTATAAACGGAAAAATCGAATACATCGACGCCGTAAACAACGCGATTCCTTGATAAACACGGGCGATAATGAAGTGGTATTTTTCCATATCGGTGATGAAATGATCTTGAGAGACTTTATGCGATTTAAAAATGTCGGTTTCTAAGATGTCTTCGAGTTCGTCTAGATATGGTTTGTGGTAAACGAAAGAATACAGTTTTAATACGTTTCCGAATTGCATGAAGAAGAAGTATAAAGCTTCGAAAATTTTTTGTATTTCTCTGCGATCCATGTACATTTGCCAAATCATTGTAAAACATAGAGATGTTGAAAATGATAGGGTTAAGTAACGCATGAATTTTTTGAATGGCTTCATCGGTTTTCCTTTGTAAATGTAAATTCCGGTTAAGAAAAGAAGATATTGCTCAGTGGCAAAGATTGATTGAAATGTTGGCCTCTAAAAAATATTAGATTTATAATGGTTATTAAATTAAAATTTTTAAAAATCACTTTTTCATTTTTTTCTTCTTTCTCTTTTTTATCACTTTCAACGTTAACAATTGTAGTTATTTCGTTTTCCATTTTTGATTGGATTTGATAAAGTTAAAATTGGGTTACCGTGCTTTTATAGTGACTTTAATAATACTTAATTATTGTTTCAATTTTTTATTGGGTTATTACTGAGATTATTTCATGGGGTAATTAGAAAATCGTTATTTTATATTGAAGTTTTAATTGACACAAACTCATTTTAATCGATTCGTTTTTATTAAGAATTAAACCACAAAATGTTAATCGTAAAAACAGCAAAAACCAATCCTTTTCTAATCGGACCAGAGTACACAAGCCCATAAATAACAACAATTTTACTACTTCACAATCGGAAATTGTTTTTTAAAATTACACCGAATACAATACGCTGACTCAAACAGTTTTTTTATTTGCTTTTCTCCCAGTTTGAATACTTACTTTGAACACTCACATTTTAATTTTCGCTCTCTTAGTGTATGTGTGTGTTGTGGTGTGTTTACAAAAACATTTATTATTGACGGTATAACAAAACCCAACTTTGTGATGTAACAAAGATTCACGTAATCCATCAGTTGATCTCAAAGTTTTATAATAAACACATTAAAAGTTAAAAATCATTAAAAAATCTTTCCTAATAATTGTAATTAATTATTTTAAGATGGGCGGAGAAAGTTACAACATGAATTCATGCCAATTTGACTTTATAAAAGAAGAATCATACACAAGAAAAGGTTGCTTCGTAACAACCCCCAAAGCGATTCTTTACGTTATCATTGCGATTATTTCATTGATTATCGTAGCTTTAGTTATGTACTATTACGGTCCTTATTCTTCAGTTGTTAAGGTAAATTATTCATTATTTTTTCATGGTAAACGATTTTTTCTCACGAGTTAAATCACGTGAAATTTATTTTTAGACGATTGAAAAATCCATGGACATTGAGAAACTTCTTAATGATTCAGTAGGAAATATATCCCAAGATATTCGATTACCAAAAGATTTAGAACCGACTTTTTACCAACTCAAAATCGACCCTAAAATCGGCTTCGAAAACAGCGACATTTACGAAGGAGAAGTTACAATTCGATTCAAATGCAAATATAAAACTAAAACGATCGTTTTAAATGCCGAAAATTTGGATATCAATAACATTGAGGTGTTTCGAATCGATTCAGTTCAAAATCGAACGAAAAGGGACGTTTTAGATAATAACACAAACGAAAATTTAAATGAAATTGTCTCAAATTCCACAAATTTTGATTTATCAAATTCGTCTTTAAATTTTGCGGATTCTGATGGTTTTTCGACTTTAAATTCAGTTAATGAAGAAATAACAACTATTTCAGGGTTAAATTCTTTTGAATCGACGAGTTTTAGCGACTTAAAATCGACTACGATGGCTTCTAGGGTTATAGAAAAAGATCGGATGGACAAAAATTATAAAAAATTACCGGGTAAGATAAATTATAGTTGTAGTAAAAATATTTTATTTAATATTGATATCTCAATTCGTTCTTAAGATATATTTTTTACAGGGTTAAATTAAAAAACTCGTATCACCGGTGTTTTTAGAAACGAAAGAATTATTTTTGGTGGGTTGAAACTGTAAAAAATTTGTAATAAAATGGTTTTTATTTCATTTTGATATCTCCATTCGTTCTTAAGATATGATTAGTTAAATTACATTATTTTAACTTAACCTCTGTAACTACAAGGTTGAACTAAAAAAATCGTATCACCGGGAATTTTTAAAACGAAGGAATTATTTTGGGTGTGTTGAAAATGCATAAAATTTGTAATAAAATGGTTTTTATTTCATCTTGATATCTCAATTCGTTCTTAAGATATGATTAGTTAAATTGTATTATTTTGATTTAACCTCAATAACTACAGAGTTCGATTAAACAAGTCGTATCACCGATGTTTTTAGAAACGAAGGAATTATTTTTGGTGGGTTGAAACTGTATAAAATTTGTAGTAAAATGGTTTTTATTTCATCTTGATATCTCAATTCGTTCTTGAGATACGATTCTTTAAATTTCATTATTTTGACTTAACCTCTATAACTACAGGGTTAAATTAAAAAAATCGTATCATCGGTAATTTTTAAAACGAAGGAATTATTTTGGGGGTGTTGAAAATACATAAAATTTGTAACAAAATGGTTTTTATTTCATCTTGATATCTCCATTCGTTCTTAAGATATGATTAGTTAAATTGTATTATTTTGATTTAACCTCAATAACTATAGAGTTCGATTAAATAAGTCGTATCACCGGTGTTTTTAGAAACGAAGGAATTATATTTGGTGGGTTGAAACTGTATAAAATTTGTAGTAAAATGGTTTTTATTTCATCTTGATATCTCAATTCGTTCTTGAGATACGATTCTTTAAATTTCATTATTTTGACTTAACCTCTATAACTACAGGGTTAAATTAAAAAAACACGTATCACCGGTGTTTTTAGAAACGAAAGAATTATTTTTGGTGGGTTGAAACTGTATAAAATTTGTAATAAAATGGTTTTTATTTCATCTTGATATCTCAATTCGTTCTTGAGATACGATTCTTTAAATTTAATTATTTTGACTTAACCTCAATAACTACAAGGTTAAATTAAAAAAGCACGTATCACCGGTGTTTTTAGAAACGAAAGAATTATTTTTGGTGTGTTGAAACTGTATAAAATTTGTAATAAAATGGTTTTTATTTCATCTTGATATCTCAATTCGTTCTTGAGATACGATTCTTTAAATTTCATTATTTTGACTTAACCTCTATAACTACAAGGTTAAATTAAAAAAACACGTATCACCGGTGTTTTTAGAAACGAAAGAATTATTTTTGGTGTGTTGAAACTGTATAAAATTTGTAATAAAATGGTTTTTATTTCATCTTGATATCTCAATTCGTTCTTGAGATACGATTCTTTAAATTTCATTATTTTGACTTAACCTCTATAACTACAGGGTTAAATTAAAAAAACACGTATCACCGGTGTTTTTAGAAACGAAAGAATTATTTTTGGTGGGTTGAAACTGTAAAAAATTTGTAATAAAATGGTTTTTATTTCATTTTGATATCTCCATTCGTTCTTAAGATATGATTAGTTAAATTACATTATTTTGACTTAACCTCTGTAACTACAAGGTTGAACTAAAAAAATCGTATCACCGGGAATTTTCAAAACGAAGGAATTGTTTTGGGTGTGTTGAAAATGCATAAAATTTGTAATAAAATGGTTTTTATTTCATCTTGATATCTCCATTCGTTCTTAAGATATGATTAGTTAAATTACATTATTTTGACTTAACCTCTGTAACTACAAGGTTGAACTAAAAAAATCATATCACCGGGAATTTTCAAAACGAAGGAATTGTTTTGGGTGTGTTGAAAATGCATAAAATTTGTAACAAAATGGTTTTTATTTCACCTTGATATCTCAATTCGTTCTTGAGATACGATTCTTTAAATTTAATTATTTTGACTTAACCTCAATAACTACAAGGTTAAATTAAAAAAGCACGTATCACCGGTGTTTTTAGAAACGAAAGAATTATTTTTGGTGTGTTGAAACTGTATAAAATTTGTAATAAAATGGTTTTTATTTCATCTTGATATCTCAATTCGTTCTTGAGATACGATTCTTTAAATTTCATTATTTTGACTTAACCTCTATAACTACAGGGTTGAACTAAAAAAATCGTATCACCGCTGTTTCTAGAAACGAAAGAATTATTTTTGGTGTGTTGAAACCGTATAAAATTTGTAATAAAATGGTTTTTATTTCATCTTGATATCTCAAGTCGTTTTTGAGATACGATTTTTTAAATTGCAGTAGTACTAGTAGTTTATCCTTTATTTTGACATTGTGTTGTAGCAACTCATTTAACATTTCTTAGGTTTAGGTAGCTTTTAAGTGCCTTAATTTTTTTAGATGAAATTTTATCAACAACTTTTATAAACATAACAACTCAAAACAACGACCCAGAAAATTTAAAATATTCGATTAGACTCAAAAAAGATTTAGAACAAAATAAAGATTATCTGCTCAAAATCAACTTTAAATCGAATATAACAGAAGCGTTTCACGGACTTTATAAAATCATTAGCGATAATAAAAGGTAAAAATAATTTGAGTTTTTTATTTACGTATTTAAATAAATTTTTTTAGTTTAATTTTAGCAACAAAGCTGCATCCAATTTATGCTAGGAAATTATTCCCATGTTTCGATGAGCCAAATTTCAAAGCACCTTTTCAATTAACAATAAAAAAGTCGAACGAAAACCACACCGTTCTTTCAAATTCGGATCCTTTTAAAAGTTTTAAAGATGAAAATGGATCGGTTTGGGAAGAATTTCAAGTTACAAATTCGCTTCCAGCTTATTCGTTCGGTTTTATTATCGGGGATTTAAATAAAATCGATGAAGAAATGTTTAAAACTAACTGTTTTATAAGAATTTGGAGTTTAAATCAAAATTCCTTCATTAAAGGTGTTTCAAAAAAAATTTTTGAGTTTACTAAAAAGATTTTGATTTATTTTGAGGGATATTTTCTTATTGATTTTCCTTTGGAAAAGATTGATTTCGTTTTTTTGAAAGATTTAAGGTTTACTACTCCGAATTCGGGATTAATATTTTTAAAGTAAGTTTTTTTAAGCTAATTTTTATTTAATAAGATTAATTTTTGATAGGGAAGCTTTAATTTTAAACGAAAAAGATTTATTTAATGAGTTGTCGAAAAGCTTGATTAAAGAGTGGGTTGGAAATTTGGTTTCGATTTCTTGGTGGGACGATTTCTGGTTTATAAACGCCTTTTCGGTGTTTATTTTGGAAGATTTACAATTGGTAATTAATTAAATTTAATTTAAATTTTAGCTTTTATTTAATTTTTAGTCGGAAAATTTGGAATCCGATTTCGTTTTGGAGGTAACCCAAGAAACTTTGCAATCGGACGATTTAAAATCGGCTCTAAGTTTGGAGAGTGAAGTTGAAAATGTGATTCAAATTTACGATATCGCCGATAAAAATAAGTATAATAAAGGGGGGTGTCTTTTAAAAATGTTAAATTTCAGCTTAGCCCCGTTAACTTTCCAAAAAGGGGTTCAAACTTTCTTAAAAGAATGGTAAAGAAATGATTTATTTAATTTTAAGGGTTTATTTTGTTGTTTTAAGGAAAAATAAGTCAACAGGCGTGAAAAATTTATGGAAATCGTTCGATTTAGTAACAACTAAAATCGATAAACTCCCCGAAAATGAAACGATTTCGAAAATAACCGAATCGTGGTCATCCCAAGCCTCATTTCCTTTAGTTTCGGTTATAAAAAACATCGAAAACGACACCCTAAGAATAACCCAAAAGAGATTCCACGACGACTTAGACAATAATTTATGGGCAATCCCAACAAATTACATAACAGGAAATAACATCGAAGAAAAATTTTTCTGGTTAACCAAAAAACTTCAAACTCAAGAAGTGAAAGATTTAAAATCAAAATGGGTTCTACTTAACTACAATTACAACGGCTATTACCGAGTTAATTACGACTTAGAAAACTGGAAAATGTTAATAAATACCTTACACGAGAATCATTTAAAAATCCCCATAAAAAATCGCGGCCAATTAATCAACGATGCCTTCGAATTAGCCGAAAATGGATTTTTAGATTACCACGTACCGTTTAATTTAACTAAATACTTAATAAACGAAACCGATTATATCCCGTGGGCTTCGGCGTTAAAAAGTTTAGAATTTATTAAAAGCATCTTAGAAACAACCTATTTAAACGGAGATTACGAAGATTACATCACAAATTTAATCGGTCCAATTTATGATAAGATCAAAGAAAATGACCCGAATAAAAACGAAGATAAAGAACACGAAGTTAAATTTAGAAAATTAATTATTGAAACAGCTTGTAGTGTTAATTATCAAAATTGCACTAAATGGGCTTTAGAGAAATTAAACGATTTTCTTAAAAACACCGAAATTGAAAATTTTCCGCATCGAAAAACAATTTTATGCACAGGGATCCGATTATCAGGGAGGAAAGAGTGGGAAATTATTTTTTCGAAATTAAAATTGATTCAAGACGACGTCGAAGATTTTTATTATGCTTTGGGTTGCACGAAACACGCCTGGTTAATTAACAAGTATTTGAGCGCTACTTTAAACGGAACAATTCCGATTAAATACGTTTCGAATGTTTGGAAATCAATTCGAAACGTTCCCGGAAGAAATGTCGGATTTAAATTTTTAAGAGAAAATTGGCGAAAGATTTATCAAATTTACAAAGAAAAACGATTAGTTTTAAAAACGATTATTCAAGATTTTCTGTTTTATCTTTCAACTAAAAGCGATAAAGAAGATGTAAGCGAATTTATTGTTTTTAAATGGAAAATTATCTAAACGTTATCTTGAAAAATATCTTTTTATTTTGTTGCAGTTGACGTTGTTTTTTGGAAAATTTAATGAGGATCTTCAAGGATTTTCGTATTTGTTAAAGGTAGTTGTTGATCGAATAGATTCTAGAATTATTTGGAAGGAAAAATATTTGGATGTTATGGATAAATGGTTTTCTTCATGAAAAATAATTTCTTGTATTAGTTAAATTAGATTTTTTTTTTCTTAATACATTTCACAATAAAATATATAAAAAAAATGTCTCCTCTTATCATCATATTAATGTAATTCAATGCTAAAAGAACAAGTCAAGCTCTATGAGACGCTTGTCAAAGAAACGACAAATTAGAGATTAATAAAAAGAAAGGTGGTTACAAAATCCAAGAACGAAGAAGATATCTTGCAAAGTCACGCACCACGTTTTCTATGATGAGGCGCTGCTCTGTGCTAAAAGTCAAGGCCCTTCACGTCCAATTTGAAAATATGGAGCTGGTGTGTGTTCCAGACTGAACGTCGCGCCTTTATCTTACCTACATAAAGAAATAAAGGCGCGACGTCCTGTCTGGAACACACACCAATACCATATTTTCGAATTGGACGGAATCTCCCTCTCCTCGCACAATTTATTTCTGTTTCGTTTTAATTCATAATTCGTTTAAATCTCCCAAAAAAAATAGAGAGACATAACTTTGAAAAGCTAATAACGGAATCCGTTGAAATCCAGCAGTTATTTTTTTATATATATAAAAATTTTAATTATTAATCCCCACATATAAGGTTAATACTATTTATTAATTAATGAATTTTCCTTATACCTCGGGTCCATAAAATCTAAGTTTGGAGTAGATAGGTTGGGTTGGGTTGGGTATGAGTTCTATGCTGTGAGATTGTGTATGGGTAGGGTTGGGTTAGGTTTGGTTGGATATGAGTTTTATCTTACAGCATAGACATGTCTCACCATCCATATTTTCGTGGTTTTCTTAATATCTATTCGTCTGAGAGCAAAAGTGCAAGAGAGCAATATTGTTAAGAATAAAATTTACTACAACTTTTGTTCTAAGAGTTTTTTTCATAGCATGCTCAGATTCCCCAGTGTTACCATCAACAACTTGAAAAACAACGAATTCCTCAAATTTTCATATTTTCGTATTTTTCTCGATACCCATGCGTCTGAGAGCAAAAGTGCAAGAGAGCAATATTGTTAAGAATAAAATTTGCTACAACTTTTGTTCTAAGAGTTTTTTTATAGCATGCTCAGATTCCCCAGTGTTACCATCAACAACTTGAAAAACAACGAATTCCTCAAATTTTCATATTTTCGTATTTTTCTCGATACCCATGCGTCTGAGAGCAAAAGTGCAAGAGAGCAATATTGTTAAGAATAAAATTTGCTACAACTGATGTTCTAAAATTTTTTTTGTGACTTCTTCAGGTTCCCGAATGTTATCATCAACAACTTGAAAAAACAACAAATTTGTTAAATTTTCATATTTCTCTCAATATCTATGCATCTGAGAAGAAAGGTTGAAGAGAGCAATATTGGATCCATAAAATCTAAGCTTGTGAGGTTGATTTTGGAGGAGATAGGTTGGGTTGGATATGACTTCAATGCTGTGATATCCTTGTGTATTGTATGGGTTGGGTTAGGTTGGGTTGGATATGTCTCCCTCTCGTTGAAGATATGAAGAAAATAAGGAACTCCATCAGTTTTTGAAAAGATTATACTTCTCTTTCATCATCTTGTCCCCATCTTTCCTTTTTTAAAATCTCCACTTTTCCCTCACATTGAGTCACGTAGGTGGAGTTATCGTGTCTCCCCTTCCTCTTCTTCAGGGTGTTGTCCTTTCTTCCCGGGTGTTGTTCCTACGGCTATGGCTGTGGGGTTTCCTGTGCCTTGGCCTCATCATCTCTTCTTCCTCTATCTTCTTCTATGTATCCCTCGATGCGATTCCAGTTTTCTTCCTTCTACAGCATGGTATTGCTCGTACCTCCGCTCATAAACTGAGTCAAAGCGTAGCTTAGTGAGCTGTGGGTAGCAGCTTCTTTGTCTGTATCTTCCCGCCATCTGGGCTCCCACTCTTTCATAGTTTCCATAGTCGCTTCGTTTTTTTCGGTTGAGTTTCCGCTTTTTCTTTTAACTAGTAAATCAATGGGAAGTGTACCACCTATAGCAAGGAGTACCTCTGTAGATATCTAACACAACCCAACCTAACCCAATCCAACCCAACCCATCTCCTCCAAACCCTGAAGGGAGTTTTTGGAGAAACAGGGATTGAGAGATTTTCGGGCTAAATTTTTGCAGTTTTTGTGGCATCGATTTTAGGCCGATTTTCTCGAAAGTTATTAAATCTATAAAACGCTCGAACTCTAAAATACAAAAAGCAAAAAATAATTTATTGAAACTCATATTTCAATCAGATTATTTTGCCATAACTCGGTGATAATAAACCAATTTTTTTTTCGTTTCGCCGTCAAATTGTCATTTTTGGAGTCACCTTAACACCTATTCACTTTCCTCTTCGCAAACAAAAAACTTGCGATAAGCAATGTTTGCCAAACAGAGACCATACCATTATTGTTAATGGAAGAAAAATGAATCTAATCAGTTCGTACTAAACCTGCACTCAAATCCGTTTGAAACAAATAAAAATGAAAATTCAAATTTTGTTTTATAGTTTAATAAATTTTTATGTTGTTTCAACAAATCATAAAGTAAGTTTATTTTAATTATTTAGTTTTAAATTAATGTTTAAATTTGTAGGATGATTGCAACAATGAAATAACTTACGGGTTTAAACAAAATTTTTCTTGGAATATCCCAACAACGACTGGTTTTTTTGTTGCAACGCCCGAATGCAAAGATGTCGACGGAAAATTAATCGAAAGACAATGTATAGATTCAGTTTGGACTCCGAAAAACATCGTTTGCAACGAAAATTTTTATTCACCCCGATCTAAAACGAACATGAACTCCATCCAAACGATTTTAACGTTCGATTCGAGGAAAGAAAATGTATTCTTGTTGGTTTATAACCCGGAGAATGTAAAAAACATTGAATGCTTTACGTTTATTATTGAGAAAAAGCCTGTTGATTCCGAGATCATTTTTGATTCGGACAGTGTGGATTCGCGCCCGTTTTTTTCGAAGCGATATTTAGTGTATAAATTAGATATTTTTCCGTTTCCAAGTGAATATTGGTGCGAAATTTATCAAAATAAGAACTCAACGGTTTTGGAGAGTGAAAAAATAGTCGGATATAATTTTGATGATTCGAAGCGTCACCAAGAATTCGTTATAAAAATTAATTACAAAAACGGATTTATAACCCAAAATTTTTTAAAATCCTGCAAAAACCTTTTGGAGCATTGCAGATTAATGAAACGTAACGATAAAAATAAAACAATTTGGGTTCACGTTACCCTGTTTTTTAAAAACGATCAAATCACAAATGGTTATTTCAAAATTTACAACAACATTAGAACCATCCAATATTCGCAAAACATCGCCAGGTTTAGCGTTTTAAATTCAGATTTTTGTTTACGAGATAAAACATTCACCAACAAAATGTTACATTGGAACTTAACACCTTTAGGCGAAAAGGCAAAACCGTCTCAAATTTGTTTAGATAAAAACGGATTAATTTTAACCAGAAAATGCGTCGGGGATTTCCTACACGGAGCTTATTTCGAAAATTTTAATCAAAAATGCTCCGAAGAAATTTCAGTTTCAACGAACACAATGATTTTGTACGAAATAATAAGCCAACACAATCTTACAAGCGAAACTTTTAAAAATATCTCATCGATAATTAAAGAGGACTTAGTTTCAACGAATGATTTATCATTATTTTCCGATGGGTTGTTCGAGACGTGCGATTTAGATCGTTTCGATGAAATCGAAGATGATTACTATGAAAGTATTAATATTTTAAATGCTTTGGACTCTAAAATTTTATCTTCATCTCAAATATCGTTAAACGCGACCGATAAAATTTTAGATTCGCTCGAAAAATTTTTAATAAAACACTCTGAAAACGTTTTAAACGAAACCAATGCGAGTGTAACCATCAAAAAGAACAACATAATTATATTCGCGACGAAACCAATTTTTAGTAACATATCCGGGATCGCTTTGTACGGAAATTCTTCGTCATTCCTCGATTATAACTTAACATATCTTTCAGAAAACGACACCTTACAAACGATTTCTCGAACAAACCTCGATTTAGCACTCCACGTTCCATCAAATCTTTTAATTTTAAACGAAAATTCTTCGTTAATCATCACGATTTATTTCAACGATTCATTATTTAACGAAGAAAATGTTACCTCGAAAGCTAATAGTCGAATAATTTCGGTTATAATGCCCGGATTAGGTAAATATTTAGAAGAACCAATTCCGATTTTAATGCGGCCGTTAAATTTAAACGCGAAATTTGATGGTTGTGGATATTGGCAGTATGGAACGTCTTCGCCAAGTAGAAAAGGAATTTGGTCAACAAAAGGTAGTGAAGATATAAACATTGATGAAATGATTTATTGTACGTATACGCATCTAACACATTTTGGGTTATTGATTTTATCGGGGCGAGTTAATTATGAAAAAGAAACAACCTCGATTTTAGCCGATTCCTTTTTACCGTACTCACAACCTTTAGATATAATCACAATAATCGGTTGTACTTTTTCGCTAATTGGAATTGTAGGAATCTTTTTAACCGCTTTTATGTTTAGGAGATTCCGTGAAAAGGTGGGGTCGAAAATTTTGATGCTTCTCGCGATACCGATTAGTTCAGAAATTATTTTAACACAATTAGCCGGAATTGATAATTGGCACAATAACGACACCGTCTGTAAAATCGTCGGAATCTTATTGCATTACGTGGTTCTATTAAAATTTACTTGGATGTTTGTAATCGCTTTGTTGCAATATTTCCGATTTGTTAAAGTTTTAGGACCGATGCCGGAAAGAATCTTTCTTAAAGCAAACTTAATTTGTTGGCTCGTCCCGGTTCTTCCTGTTCTTATAACAGCCGCTATTTCTGTGGAAAGCTACACGGCTGGAATACAAAAATTTTGTTACCCAAAATATTGGGCTTTGTACTTGGGATTGTTCGCACCAGCTTGTGTTATAATTGTTTTCAATATTATGATTTTTGGAATGATTATGATTAACATTTCAAGAAGTAAGGCTGTAAAATACGATAAAAGTGGACGAATGATTCGAAGGCAAACTTATTTGGCCATCTTATTATTTTTTATGTTAGGCTTACCGTGGATTTTTGGAATTTTAGCTGAAATTTTACCGATCGGTTGGATCGAAATCACTTTCGTTTATTTATTTTGTTTAACGGCTACCTTACAAGGCTTTGTTTTATTTATTTTTTATGTTGTTTTAGATAAAGGTACAAGAAATTGTTGGATTGAGTATTTTAAAACGTTTAGGAAACATTAAATTTTATATTAATATTATTTGATGTAATAAATATTTAAAAATTAACTAATTTATACTTAATTAGATTAAATCTCCACCTTAACAACTCCTTTTGATAAATTCATTTTACTACATTTTACAACAATCTAATGCAGTGAAAGTTTTTCCCCATCGCTTTTAGTTTTTGAATAATGATTGAGTTAATTTTTGAAAATCAACACTTTTGAAGTTTAATCGATTTAGAGCTTATAAATAAAAAATGGTAATAATTGGGTTCAATCTTTTTATAGATCTTGTCTTTATGGCCCATTACTAAGGTTTTATGTATAAAAAGTTTTTCCCCATCGCTTTTAGTTTTTGAGTTATGATTGACTTAATTTTCGAAAATCAACAATTTTGATGTTTAATCGGTTTAGAGCTTATAAATAAAAAATGGTAATAATTGGGTTCAATCTTTTTATGGATCTAGTCTTTATGGCTCATTACTACGGTTTTATGTATAAAAAGTTTTTCCCCATCGCTTTTAGTTTTTGAATAATGATTGAGTTTATTTTTGAAAATCAACACTTTTGAAGTTTAATCGATTTAGAGCTTATAAATAAAAAATGGTAATAATTGGGTTCAATCTTTTTATGGATCTAGTCTTTATGGTCCATTACTAAGGTTTTATGTATAAAAAGTATTTCCCCATCGCTTTTAGTTTTTGAGTTATGATTGAGTTAATTTTCGAAAATCAACAATTTTGATGTTTAATCGATTTAGAGCTTATAAATAAAAAATGGTAATAATTGGGTTCAATCTTTTTATGGATCTAGTCTTTATGGCTCATTACTAAGGTTTTATGTATAAAAAGTGTTTCCCCATCGCTTTTAGTTTTTCAGTTATGATTGAGTTAATTTTCGAAAATCAACAATTTTGATGTTTAATCAATTTAGAGCTTATAAATAAAAAATGGTAATAATTGAGTTCAATCTTGTTATGGATCTAGTCTTTATCGCCCATTACTAAGGTTTTATGTATAAAAAGTTTTTCTCCATCGCTTTTAGTTTTTGAGTTATGATTGAGTTAATTTTCGAAAATCAACAATTTTGATGTTTAATCGATTTAGAGATTATAAATAAAAAATGGTAATAATTGGGCTCAATCTTGTTATGGATCTAGTCTTTATGGCCCATTACTAAGGTTTTATGTATTAAAGTTTTTCCCCATCGCTTTTAGTTTTTGAATAATGATTGAGTTAATTTTTTAAAATCAACACTTTTGAAGTTTAATCGATTTAGAGCTTATAAATAAAAAATGGTAATAATTGGGTTCAATCTTTATGGATCTTGTCTCGCGATCGACGTTATGGACACCACTGATCTGATGTATGTAACAACAATGTAATCAATTTCATGGTTTTAATAATAATTATTATAATAATCTTTATAAACTAATATTACGTTCCTTATCTTTTTAAAATAAATCTTTTAATTTTGATGATTTAAGAAGATGGAACATTTAAATCTACATTATTCTCCTTTAAATAATTATCAAGCCATTTTTCAATAACAGGCAGATTTTCGTCGCTCCATTTCGTTTCTTCTTTAATATTTTTTAAAGCTCTCTCAACAACGAATTCCGCGGTGCCAAATTCACCTTGTCTTTCCACGTATAAACCGGAAACCATATCTAAACCTTCTTGCGTTTTAAAAACTGTGGTAGCCGATGTTACCAAACTATTCCATAAAAGCGGTTTCTTTTCGAATCTACGAAAAAATAGAATTACAAATGAAAAAAAAATAGTTTTCGATTCGTACTTAATTTTAATTACGTCCCAATTTTTTTCTAAAAAGTTAAATAAAGTTGTGTAACCGCTTGCACCTCCAGTAAGCATGCTAAATATTAAATTAATATCTGTATCGGTAAAGTTTCCGTTTTCTTCCAAAACGGTAACGTTTAGGAGTCGCTCGATTTTATAGGAGTCAATTGGACATCCGGCCAAAGTTTTTAATAAATAAGTTCGTTCATTTTTCATTCGGGAGGGTGGGAAATTTATTATTCTTTGTAAACCAAATTCCCATTCTTCGTTTGTGCCGTATTTAAACACGGGACAAATATATTCATCGGCCAAACTAAAATTAATTATTATTTTTTTAAATTTTAATAATAATAACTTACATATTTCCTTCGTCTGGATTCGTAGCTTTCATCCATTTATGATATTGTTTTTGTGCTTCTATAACACACGGTTTATAACCAGCTTGACACAAAAACACTTCCGAGTACCTTCTTAAATGGGTTTTTCCGTCGAGTTCACCTTTCTTTGGTTTAGGGCCGAGTTCTTGGTATAAAGGAGTTAATAAGTGGCGAATATATCCCTGGAATTTTTTATGAACTTCGGAACTATCGATATGTCTTCCAATATGATCGATCATTGTAAAAATGGGGTCCCAAGCTAAGTACTCCCGTTCAAATCTTAAAAAAAGTGTCATATTTAAGGCCGTTCCGAAACCTAAATCTCCCGCATAAGCTAAATTCCAAGCATCATGAAGTAATTTAGCGCGAGTATTAACTGGGATTTTAACACGATTTTCGTTGTTTAATAAAAATCTCGAGATCATATTCCAATTATCACCGTCGTAATTGACCGGAAATGGGCCGATTTCTTCTGGGTTGACGATAATAAATTGGTGGTTATCGGGCATGTTATCAACAATTACTTTTCTTTCGTTTTTCATCCATGTAATCGGGGTGGAATTTTGGAAATCTAATCGATCTTCTCGAACTAAAACGATGGGAATCCACCATAACAATTTATCTTGATCTGGTAAATCGTGTGGTCGTTCTCTTAGATAAACTTTTTGGGTTAACACAACCGAATTTGTGTCGTATAATCGCGTTGCGTTCACCACGGGGAGTCGGTCCTTGGTTATCCAAGAAGCCGCTATGTTATTTACGGACATATCTTCGGTTAGTGCGTTATCAGAGATGGCTCTTTCAGTTAATGCGGTCCAAATATCGTCGCCAAAAAACGTCCCAAATTGTCGGGTGGCCATAAATCTTTGTAATCCACGCACGAAAGTTGATTCACCCAAGGTGTAATTTAACATTCGAAAGATCATCTCGGTTTTAGCCGAGACGGAGTCTTGTTTTATGGCGGTGTTTTTCCAATGGGGATATCGTTTACTAAATTCGTAATAAATTGAGTATAACATTGTCATGGGCCAATTATTAAACGATTCGTTTTTGTAGTTTAATTTTAACGTTGTGTAAGCGGTTACATATCGGTTTAAAGCGTAGTTAATGTGGGCATCGTTCCACCAAAATGGAGTTGCTAAAGAACCGAGCCATTGATAAGCGAGTTCTTGAGATACATAAGAAAGCTTTTTGTTGTCTAAATCACTTTCTCTACAACAAAATTAATTAATCGTTAAAATTATCTCTAAATTAAGCTTACTTAAAAAAAAGTAATCCCCAATTATCCCCCGGTTTGTTCGTTGAAAAATTGGGTAAAGCGACACAATCAATTTTCGGTAATGGATAGGCGGTGCCCCAAAATTCCCGAAGAACTTGCATCGACTTCACAGTTTTCAGCACAACATCTTTCAAACTTCCCAAATAATCAGGTCTCCCCCAAACTTTAATACCCATATCGATTTCTTCCGTTGTGTTTCGTTCCAAATAATGAAATTCCGAAACTATAAATGCTAAAGTAAAGGTGGACATCGGAGGAGATGGTTGGAAATGATCCCAATGCCATCCCGGTTGATCTTTTCTGATTTAAAGAAACAAAGAAAAATAAAAATAAAAAACAAATAATTAAATTACTTCTCTTCGCTCATTAAAACCGGCATATTCGATAAAGTGATCATATCTTTAGTTCTAGCCACACTGATTGAAATTGGAGTTTTATAAGAAGGTTCGTCATAACAAGGAAAAACTTTTCTAGCTAAATTCGGTCGAAATTTTGATGCGATATACCACTTCTTAACACCTTCATCCGAATCGATGTATTCATCCCGAAATAAAGCTTCGTTTTTATCGATTGTCCCATTAAATGGAATTTTAACTTCCGCTTGAGCACCCCTTTTTAAAGATTTCTCCAAATGAAGAATGATCATGGGTTTCTTTGGTTCTAATTCAACCTTAATTACTTTTATTGGAACTTTATCGAAAGCTAACGATAAAGATTTATCCCTAAAAATAGAAACTTCGATTATTTGAGACAAATTAAAATTTTTAATTTTACGATTCATCTGATGGCGAAGTTTGAACAACGGTCACTTTTTCGGAAATAACAAGGTTTTTGTCAGCGTGAAGAGTGATTTTATCGGATTCCTCTTCCCAAGAAACATTAATTTGAACCTGACCAATAAAATATCCTTCTTCAATGTATGGTTGTAGTTTTATCACGTAGCTATTCGGTGCAGTTTCTCTTGGTAATCTCGAATCGGAAATCAAACTATGAGCTGAGATTAAATCTATACTTCGTCTCTTAATTCCAGCAACATTCTATTACATAAAATTTAAAAAAGAAATAAAAATTACATAAATATTAATTAATTCTCACCTGAAAAGTTATTAAATAAGAAAAAAGCACAATAAGAAATACATTTTTGATTTCATTTTCCATTTTTATTTTTTACATTAAAACGAATGTTGTGTCTTCTTCGGTTGCAGTGTACCAAAGAAATAACCGTTTTTTCATTCTGATATCCAATCTCTTTAGTTTAAGACGATTATTTAATAAAATATGCGATGGGGTTACAAAAGGATTCAAACTACGCGTTTCCGGTTTATTTGTGAATTGTAAAATTGACCCTTCCAATTTATTCATTGAAAATTTAAAACACACATTAATCAAAGTATTGACGTAAATAAAAAAAATAATTAATTATAAATAACTTGAAAAAACAACGAATTCGTTAAATTTACATATTTTTGTATTTTTCTCGATATCTACGCATCTGAGAGCAAAAGTACAAGAAAGCATTATTGTTAACAATAAACTTTGCTACAACTTTTGTTCTAAAAGTTTTTTTGTGATATGCTCAGATTCCCCAGTGTAATCATCAACAACTTGAAAAACAACAAATTCGTCAAATTTATATATTTTCCTATTTTTCTCGATATCTATACGTTTGAGAGCAGAAGTGTAAAAGAGCAATATTGTTAACAATAAAATTTGCTACAACTTTTGTTCTAAAAGTTTTTTTGTAATATGCTCAGATTCCCCAGTGTAACCATCAACAACCTGAAAAAACAACAAATTCGTCAAATTTACATATTTGGGTATTTTTCTCGATATCTATACGTCTGAGAGCAAAAGTGTAACAGAACAATATTGTTAAGAATTAAAATTGCTACAACTCTTGTTCTAAAGGTTTTTTTGCAACATGCTTAGATTCCTCAGGGTAAGTAACACCTCGAAAAAATAAGAAATTCGTCAAATTATCATATTTTTGTATTTTTATCAATATCTATGCGTCTAAGATTGAAAGAGCAATAGAGCAATATTGTTAAGAATAAAATTTGCTACAAGTTTTGTTCTAAAAGTTTTTTTATGACATGCTTAGATTCCCCAGTGTAACCATCAACAACTTGAAAAAGCAACAAATTCGTCAAATTTACATATTTGGGTATTTTTCTTAAGATCTATACGTTTTATAGTAAAAGTGTAAAAGAGCAATATTGTTAAGAATTAAAATTGCTACAACTTTTGTTCTAAAAGTTTTTTTGTAATATGCTCAGATTCCCCAGTGTCACCATCAACAACTTGAAAAACAACAAATTCGGCAAATTTATATATTTTCCTATTTTTCTCGATATCTATACGTTTGAGAGCAGAAGTGTAAAAGAGCAATATTGTTAACAATAAAATTTGCTACAACTTTTGTTCTAAAAGTTTTTTTGTGATATGCTCAGATTCCCCAGTGTAACCATCAACAACCTGAAAAAACAACAAATTCGTCAAATTTACATATTTGGGTATTTTTCTCGATATCTATACGTCTGAGAGCAAAAGTGTAACAGAACAATATTGTTAAGAATTAAAATTGCTACAACTCTTGTTCTAAAGGTTTTTTTGCAACATGCTTAGATTCCTCAGGGTAAGTAACACCTCGAAAAAACAAGAAATTCGTCAAATTATCATATTTTTGTATTTTTCTCGATATCTACGCATCTGAGAGCAAAAGTACAAGAAAGCAATATTGTTAACAATAAAATTTGCTACAACTTTTGTTCTAAAAGTTTTTTTGTTATATGCTTAGATTCCCAAGTGTAACCATCAACAACTTGAAAAACAACAAATTCGTCAAATTTGTATATTTTCCTATTTTTCTCGATATCTATACGTTTGAGAGCAGAAGTGTAAAAGAGCAATATTGTTAACAATAAAATTTGCTACAACTTTTGTTCTAAAAGTTTTTTTGTAATATGCTCAGATTCCCAAGTGTAACCATCAACAACCTGAAAAAACAACAAATTCGTCAAATTTACATATTTGGGTATTTTTCTCGATATCTATACGTCTGAGAGCAAAAGTGTAACAGAACAATATTGTTAAGAATTAAAATTGCTACAACTCTTGTTCTAAAGGTTTTTTTGCAACATGCTTAGATTCCTCAGGGTAAGTAACACCTCGAAAAAACAAGAAATTCGTCAAATTATCATATTTTTGTATTTTTCTCGATATCTACGCATCTGAGAGCAAAAGTACAAGAAAGCAATATTGTTAGCAATATTATTTGCTACAACTTTTGTTCTATAAGTTTTTTTGTGATATGCTCAGATTCTCCAGTTCGATTAATCATTGAAAAGATAATGGTATTTAGGGAAATGTGCATATTTACCGGTAAATGTAAATAATAAAATTGCATATCGATTTATAACATCTTAACAGATTTCAGTTATCTTGTTTTGAGGTTGGGTAGGGTTTGGATGGGTTGGGTTGCACGGGCTTTATGTTATCATCGATTCATTGCAAAGATTAACGATTACGTTTTTGATCCAAGGTGACCAAAATGATGCCCTAAAGTAGCTCTGCCCAAGGAGCGTCAATACGAAACTAAATTTGGTGGCACAAGACAACATATTACTAATGAATGATAAAATACTGCTAATAGGTGCCAACCTACTGCTTCCAGAACATTTAATATTTCCGGCAGAAAACTACAGATTGATCGTAGAAGGCTAGATACTGTTAACAGAAGATTAGATAGTGTTGGTGGAAGATAATCTGATGCTAAAAACTGCTAATGGAACATTAAGCCGATGATTTGGGTTCAGTAATTAAAGGAAAAATATAAAACAACTGAAAAAACCACCTACTGCTACCAGAACACTACATACTAATAGAATAAAACTAGATACTGCTGGTAAAAGATTAGATCCTCCCCATAGAAAACTAAATACTGCTAATGGAAGAGCAAAACTCTGATAACACAAAATTTTTATTAATTTATCTCTAATAAATGTTGCGTTTCGGAACAAACAAAGTGTAGAAGAGTCTTTAAGTGATATTTGTAGGGCCGACTATAAATACCGCGCAATAAAGATTAAGTGAATCTTTAATTACAACTTGAATTTAGGCCATGACTCTTAGTTTTATGAAGAATGAAGATTTTGTGACAAATGTTTACGTCTACAAGTTCTTTATCTTAATATATACAAAAATTATCAAATACTTTTATTATCATAACCAAAATAACCACTTCATTAAAAAAAACTCGAATTAATTTAATTCGTAAAACTTTAAACTTACCTTGAAATTTAAAATGAGCTATTATAACTTTAATAAGATTCAAGTTACAACTAAAACAAAGCAATTTCAAGCGACCTTTTTATTTAAAGCGATATTTTTTGTTCGTTAACGGAAAACATACTTTGAAAATACAAATGAATGTTTTACTCGGCTTCTACATACTTAACTTATAAGAAATACGATGTGTATTATAAATATCGTAAATAATTTACATATTTCGGTGCTTCAAAAGATAAAATAGTAATAACTCACCTTTTTAAAACGTAGAAATGATAAATTTAGATTTTGCAAGTTGAATAACTACAACTTGGCAAGACTAACATGAAACTACTAACTAATAATAAACTTAAGTTGACCACTTAAACAACAAATATTTCGTAATCGTTTCGTTATCGACACATTTATGTTTATTTTATCAAGAAATAGAGCAGACGATATAATAATAAACAATAAATCCAATCAAGTTCTTATCTCGAGTGGATATGCTAAAAAGTGGGTTTCATGTTCGTTCCAATTTAAAACAGTAATAATTATAATTTAAATTATACTCACTTGTTAAGAGGGGTTTTATTAACTGAGTAATAACGCCGGTCGCGACTAAATGCGACGAAATAAAACGTTAACTGGCTGATTAGACTTTAAAACGTTATTAGACCGAAACAGCACTGGTACTCAACAATAATTGTTGATAAAAAAGTAAATGAGAGTTTGATAATTCAAGACCGTGTTAAAAATTTACTTTTTTAAAAAAGTAACAAGAGTTATATAAAGGAAATAGAAAGCACGGATAACGATGAATGTCGCTTTTTGTGCGATGTTGTTGTCGCTAAGCCGAAAAACGTGCACTTTTTTCAGGATTTGTCGCAAATGAGTGGTTTTCTCGAAACGATTGCAAGGTTTTTAATAGTTTTTTAATCGCTCGCAATCAAAATCATTTTATAATTGAGTTACCTTGAAATTTTCATTTTTAATACTTTAATTTCGCCAAAATTAATTTTTTTTAATTCAAATCTTGGTTACGTCATTCACAAAAAGATGACGCTACCATACAACTTAAAATAAATTAAAAATAACTTTATTTTCTAACTCAACATAAATTAACTCAATTAATTCTAACTAATCATTTTTAATTTACATTAAAAATTATTATTTGGTATGTTTTATTACCAAATTAATTTAATAAATATATCCTACTTAATCAACAAAAATTTAAAACTTGTATTTCCCCATAGATGGCATTAACTTCGAACACGTGTATTTGACGTTTGTTATCAAAAATGACCTATTTAGGTTAAGTTAAAAGTCTCAAAAGGACAAATCATTTATAATCAAAAAAAATTTCGGTGTAAAATGGATGGAATAGATGAAAGTAATTGGGATCCGTGTAATTTATTATTGTCACCGGGTGAAAATGATAAATATGCGGTTTTAGTGTTAAATACACCTATAACATTGATTTTTAACACTGAGCAGGTGCTAAATTTATGGAATAAAGGTAATTTTATATATTAATTCAACAACGTAGTTTTAATTTACATTAATTCAGCTTTAATTCGAATCACCGTTGATGGTGGAACAGATAAATGGTTAGATTGGCTAAAAGAAAACGATTTACATCAAAACACAATTAAAAATATCGATTTAATAACTGGCGATATGGATTCAATAAAACCGGAAACTTTAGAAGCTTTCAAAGAATCATCAACAATAATCATTAATACCTATGATCAAGAAGAAACCGATTTTACAAAAGCTATTTTAGAATTAAAATCAATTTCGTGCAAACTGAATTTAGATGTATGTTGATTTTTTTAAATCGCTTTTTATCTAGATCCAATTCAGATCGAATATGTTGTAGCTTTTAACAGTGTTTGTGGACGTTTTGATCAAGTTTTGGGTAATGTGAATACGCTTTATAAAATCAATCGGCTATGGCCTGAAATTCGAATTTTAATCGTTACCAACAGTATTACATGGTTGCTAAGTGTTGGACAACATCGGATTCAAATTCCAAGTAATTTGAAGAAATCACAAGAGTGGTGTGCCTTAATTCCAGTGGGAAATAAAACTTTTTTAACTACCAGTGGGTTAAAGTGGAATTTGGGTAAGTTACTCATATTTTATAACCATTTTGATTGAGATGAATCAAAGAAACACAGTTAATTTGATTTGATGTGGATTTAAATCAGTCTTTTTATAGTTTTATGTATTAAGAAAAACCTGTTTTGTTCTGGATTGAATGGAAATGAAAGTTTTATTTATTTATTGTCTATTTTGTTTCATGTTTTAGATAATTCTCCATTGGAGTTTGGTTATTTAGTAAGTACATCGAATACTTATTCAACAAAAGAAGAAAATGTTGTTGTTTTAACCGATCAACCAATAGTTTGGTCGATGGGGATTAAAAATTTATTGGTGTAAAATGTTTTTAAATAATAATTTTCATGAAATTTATTGATTGTTAATATCTTTTTGGAATTTAAAATCTCCCAGTTGTTTTAGAATAATTTTTTTGTTACTTAATTAGCATATAATGTAGAGAGACATCCTTTTGATACATTTTTTTTATGTTTACCTTTTTTGAATAAATAATTAATTTCAGATCGATCCTATTTTACTTCCTTTTGAATTTTATTAATTCACATTGACCAAAATACGTGACTTTCAAAAGTTTATAACTAACGAATTTATATGAACTAAGACACGATTCTTATATCAAATTAAAAAGGGGACTTTAAGCTTTAATTTGACACATAAATCATCACTCAATTCGAATAAATACGATTTGGATGAACGATTTAATTTTCGGTTAGATTTTGACATATTTGTATTTAGTTGAAAATCACCACAACTTTAAAAACTTTATAACTAATGAATTTATACGAACTAAGACACGATTCTTATATCAAAGTAAAAAGGGGACTTTAAGCTTTAATTTGACGTATAAATCATCACTTAATTTGAATAAATACGGTTTGGATGAATGATTTCATTTTCGGTTAGATTTTAACATTTGTACTTAATTGAAAATCACCACAACTTTCAAAAGTTTATAACTAACGAAGTTATATGAACAAAGACACGATTCTTATATCAAATTAGAAAGGAGACTTTAAGCTTTAATTTGACGTATAAATCAACACTCAATTCGAATAAATACGGCTTAGATGAATGATTTAATTTTCGGTTAGATTTTGACATNACTAACACCTCGAAAAAATAAGAAATTCGTCAAATAATCATATTTTCGCATTTTTATCAATATCTATGCGCCTAAGATTGAAAGAGCAATAGAGCAATATTGTTAAGAATAAAATTTGCTACAAGTTTTGTTCTAAAAGTTTTTTTATGACATGCTCAGATTCCCCAGTGTCACCATCAACAACTTGAAAAAGCAACAAATTCGTCAAATTTACATATTTTTGTATTTTTCTCGATATCTACGCATCTGAGAGCAAAAGTACAAGAAAGCAATATTGTTAACGATAAACTTTGCTACAACTTTTGTTCTAAAAGTTTTTTTGTGATATGCTCAGATTCCCCAGTGTCATCAACAACTTGAAAAAGCAACAAATTCGTCAAATTTACATATTTTTGTATTTTTATCAATATCTATGCGTCTAAGATTGAAAGAGCAATAGAGCAATATTGTTAAGAATAAAATTTGCTACAAGTTATGTTCTAAAAGTTTTTTTGCAACATGCTCAGATTCCCCAGTGTAACCATCAACAACTTGAAAAAGCAACAAATTCGTCAAATTTACATATTTGGGTATTTTTCTTGAGATCTATACGCTTTATAGTAAAAGTGTAAAAGAACAATATTGTTAAGAATTAAAATTGCTACAACTCTTGTTCAAAAAGTTTTTTTGTAATATGCTCAGATTCCCCAGTGTCACCATCAACAACTTTTAGACTCGTCCGACCTTGAGTGAAAAAAAAAGTTAAATTAAAATTCTAGGAATGCAAATTTTATTTCATACTTTTTTTTAGTTTAATTATACAACATAATAAATTACTTTTAACGTGGAAATGAACAAAACCGTGCAAAATAACAATTTCTCTCTAAATCTAAACTTAAAATATTAAAATATTTTAATCATAATTAATTAAAATTATAACCACCCCCTTTTTTGATAAGAAAAAACGAGACTCTTTAATTTTCTTTTATGTGCTTCCCCCAACAAATCGGTTCTACACCAATCGCTCGATTGGAAATTTTCGAAGCTCTCCACTTTGCCTTTTTCTGTCATAATCGGTTTTAACATAAACCCACAGTGATAAAATTCTTTGGGGCCGATAAAATCCATCTCTTTAATGAATTCTTCGTAGGTGTATTCGTTAATGTTTGGCAAATGGTAATCTTTTAAGTTTGCCATGAACGATTTAAAATATAAATTGATTAATTTCTCGTAATTGTCATCTAAGGCTTCATTAACAACGCTGGTGAATAAGAAAAAAACCAAATCTCTTAAGCATGATCCATAGTTCATGATTTGTAGGTCGACGATTTTATTTTTAATTGGTTTTCCATTTATGTCGTGAAGTAACATTGTGTTACTTAACCAATAATCTGAATGAACAATTGTTCCAAAAAGAGGATTAACTGGTAATCGATTAATTAGGTCTTGAAGACCTTCTTCAACTAATTTTTCGATTTTGCTTTGTAGTGGTAATAATTCAGGTACTTGTTTAACACCATCAAATAAACTATTATAAAAAGCTTTCCCAACTTCTTCTGGGACTTTATCGAAACAGCCGTTTTTAACGGTACAAGGAAGTACTTTTTTGTTGAATTGGTCTTTATTTAAAACTTGCATAGCGATTGGAACAGCATGAAATCTTGCTAAATCTTGCACAATGAATTCAGCTTCTTCGAGATTTAACCCAACAAATCTATCCCCAGTAACAAATCCTTGTATTTTTAAATTTTCTAAGATAATAGCTGCATCATCATTAACAGCCCCATTATTATTATTTAAATTAATTCGCGCACCATAACATTTTGGGAAAATATCTAAAATTTTATCTTCAGAAACTCCGCATTCTTTTTGGAACGAAATTAATGCGGGAATTGCATCTAAATAAGCACTTATTTCCTTTTTAAACGTTACTTGTACATCGAAAAAATCCCTCAACATATCGCTAGCTGGAATCATTTTTGCAACCAAATTTAACGATTCTTTCGTTTCGGATTTAATTTTTTTTATTGTTAAATCAACAGCCAGCATTATACTTCCGTAATGTTCGCCGGGGGCCGTTAATAATTTTTGATTATTTTCGATTATTTCGAAATCTTCGCCTATGGAAGGCTGGATTAATTCCTTGATGTTCTTCAAGGTTATTTCCGGCATGACTAGAAAATAAAAAATAAAGTCAAAAAGAAAACTAGAACAATAGAAATTACAAATACAATGGAAGAATGGTAAATTGAATTTGGTTTAAGTATTTGGTTTTTTTTTAATTTAAAAGAACCGCAACATGTAATATTTATTAATGAAATTGTTGAAAAACTATTTGGGTTAATTTTATTGGCGGTTGTTTTTGCTGTTAATTGAATCACGTAACTTGTCGGTTTTCATATCGAATTGTTCTGCGATTTCCATTTACTTTGTTTAATAAAAAAGATAAAAGAATAAAAATAAAGAGAAATTTGTGACATAATTCTCGGTAAAATTTTCCATATACATAAAACGTAATTGTTTACATTCTTTGAAAATTGATTAAACTATTTAACTAAATTACGATTACAAATTATTTTCTTAAAAGTTCTCTATAATCGATATTTTCTACTTCTAAGCTGATTAACTACACATTGAAAAGATAATGGTATTTAGGGAAATGTGCATATTTACCGGTAAATGTAAATAATAAAATTGTATATCGATTTATAACATCTTAACAGATTTCAGTTATGTTGTTTTGAGGTTGGGTAGGGTTTGGATGGGTTGGGTTGCACGGGCTTTATGTTNTTCTTATATCAAATTAAAAAGGAGACTTTAAGCTTTAATTTGACGTATAAATCATCACTTTGTTCGAATAAATACGATCTGAATGAATGATTTAATTTTATTAGATTGATTAGTTGAAAATCACCACAACTTTAAAAAGTTTATAACTAACGAAGTTATACGAACTAAGGCACGATTCTTATATCAAATTAAAAAGGGGACTTTAAGCTTTAATTTAACGTATAAATCATTACTCAATTCGAATAAATACGGTTTGGATGAATGATTTAATTTTCGGTTAGATTTTGACATATTTGTACTTAGTTGAAAATCGCCACAACTTTCAAAAGTTTATAACTAACGAAGTTATATGAACTAAGACACGATTCTTATATCAAATTAAAAAAGGGACTTTAAGCTTTAATTTGACGTATAAATCATCACTTTGTTCGAATAAATACGATCTGTATGAATGATTTAATTTTATTAGTTTGATTAGTTGAAAATCACAACTTTAAAAAGTTTATAACTAACGAATTTATATGAACTAAGACATGATTCTTATATCAAATTAAAAAGGGGACTTTAAGCTTTAATTTAACGTATAAATCATTACTCAATTCGAATAAATACGGTTTGGATCAATGATTTAATTTTCGGTTAGATTTTGACATATTTGTACTTAGTTGAAAATCACCACAACTTTCAAAAGTTTATAACTAACGAATTTATATGAACTAAGACATGATTCTTATATCAAATTAAAAAGGAGACTTTAAGCTTTAATTTAACGTATAAATCATCACTGAATTCGAATAAATACGGTTTGGATGAACGATTTAATTTTCGGTTAGATTTTGACATATTTGTACTTAGTTGAAAATCACCACAACTTTCAAAAGTTTATAACTAACGAAGTTATATGAACAAAGANTATGTTGTTTTGAGGTTGGGTAGGGTTTGGATGGGTTGGGTTGCACGGGCTTTATGTTATCATCGATTCATTGCAAACATTAACGATTACGTTTTTGATCCAAAGTGACCAAAATGATGCCCTAAAGTAGCTCTGCCCAAGGAGCGTCAATACGAAACTAAATTTGGTGGCACAAGACAACATATTACTAATGAATGATAAAATACTACTAATAGGTGCCAACCTACTGCTTCCAGAACATTTAATATTTCCGGCAGAAAACTACAGATTGATCGTAGAAGGCTAGATACTGTTAACAGAAGATTAGATAGTGTTGGTGGAAGATAATCTGATGCTAAAAACTACTAATGGAATTAAAAGAAAAATATAAAACAACTGAAATATTAGACAACAGCGTAACTCGGGGTAGATACTGGGGATGCAAAACCACCTACTGCTACCAGAACTCTATATACTGATAGAATAAAACTAGATACTGCTGGTAAAAGATTAGATCCTCCCCATAGAAAACTAAGCACTGCTAATAGAAGAGCAAAACTCTGATAACACAAAATTTTTATCAATTTATCTCTAATAAATGTTGCGTTTCGGAACAAACAAAGTGTAGAAGAGTCTTTAAGTGATATTTGTAGGGCCGACTATAAATACCGCGCAATAAAGATTGCTACAACTTTTGTTCTAAAAGTTTTTTTATGACATGCTTAGATTCCCCAGTGTAACCATCAACAACTTGAAAAAGCAACAAATTCGTCAAATTTACATATTTGGGTATTTTTCTTAAGATCTATACGTTTTATAGTAAAAGTGTAAAAGAGCAATATTGTTAAGAATTAAAATTGCTACAACTTTTGTTCTAAAAGTTTTTTTGTGATATGCTCAGATTCTCCAGTTCGATTAATCATTGAAAAGATAATGGTATTTAGGGAAATGTGCATATTTACCGGTAAATGTAAATAATAAAATTGCATATCGATTTATAACATCTTAACAGATTTCAGTTATCTTGTTTTGAGGTTGGGTAGGGTTTGGATGGGTTGGGTTGCACGGGCTTTATGTTATCATCGATTCATTGCAAAGATTAACGATTACGTTTTTGATCCAAGGTGACCAAAATGATGCCCTAAAGTAGCTCTGCCCAAGGAGCGTCAATACGAAACTAAATTTGGTGGCACAAGACAACATATTACTAATGAATGATAAAATACTGCTAATAGGTGCCAACCTACTGCTTCCAGAACATTTAATATTTCCGGCAGAAAACTACAGATTGATCGTAGAAGGCTAGATACTGTTAACAGAAGATTAGATAGTGTTGGTGGAAGATAATCTGATGCTAAAAACTGCTAATGGAACATTAAGCCGATGATTTGGGTTCAGTAATTAAAGGAAAAATATAAAACAACTGAAAAAACCACCTACTGCTACCAGAACACTACATACTAATAGAATAAAACTAGATACTGCTGGTAAAAGATTAGATCCTCCCCATAGAAAACTAAATACTGCTAATGGAAGAGCAAAACTCTGATAACACAAAATTTTTATTAATTTATCTCTAATAAATGTTGCGTTTCGGAACAAACAAAGTGTAGAAGAGTCTTTAAGTGATATTTGTAGGGCCGACTATAAATACCGCGCAATAAAGATTAAGTGAATCTTTAATTACAACTTGAATTTAGGCCATGACTCTTAGTTTTATGAAGAATGAAGATTTTGTGACAAATGTTTACGTCTACAAGTTCTTTATCTTAATATATACAAAAATTATCAAATACTTTTATTATCATAACCAAAATAACCACTTCATTAAAAAAAACTCGAATTAATTTAATTCGTAAAACTTTAAACTTACCTTGAAATTTAAAATGAGCTATTATAACTTTAATAAGATTCAAGTTACAACTAAAACAAAGCAATTTGAAGCGACCTTTTTATTTAAAGCGATATTTTTTGTTCGTTAACGGAAAACATACTTTGAAAATACAAATGAATGTTTTACTCGGCTTCTACATACTTAACTTATAAGAAATACGATGTGTATTATAAATATCGTAAATAATTTACATATTTCGGTGCTTCAAAAGATAAAATAGTAATAACTCACCTTTTTAAAACGTAGAAATGATAAATTTAGATTTTGCAAGTTGAATAACTACAACTTGGCAAGACTAACATGAAACTACTAACTAATAATAAACTTAAGTTGACCACTTAAACAACAAATATTTCGTAATCGTTTCGTTATCGACACATTTATGTTTATTTTATCAAGAAATAGAGCAGACGATATAATAATAAACAATAAATCCAATCAAGTTCTTATCTCGAGTGGATATGCTAAAAAGTGGGTTTCATGTTCGTTCCAATTTAAAACAGTAATAATTATAATTTAAATTATACTCACTTGTTAAGAGGGGTTTTATTAACTGAGTAATAACGCCGGTCGCGACTAAATGCGACGAAATAAAACGTTAACTGGCTGATTAGACTTTAAAACGTTATTAGACCGAAACAGCACTGGTACTCAACAATAATTGTTGATAAAAAAGTAAATGAGAGTTTGATAATTCAAGACCGTGTTAAAAATTTACTTTTTTAAAAAAGTAACAAGAGTTATATAAAGGAAATAGAAAGCACGGATAACGATGAATGTCGCTTTTTGTGCGATGTTGTTGTCGCTAAGCCGAAAAACGTGCACTTTTTTCAGGATTTGTCGCAAATGAGTGGTTTTCTCGAAACGATTGCAAGGTTTTTAATAGTTTTTTAATCGCTCGCAATCAAAATCATTTTATAATTGAGTTACCTTGAAATTTTCATTTTTAATACTTTAATTTCGCCAAAATTAATTTTTTTTAATTCAAATCTTGGTTACGTCATTCACAAAAAGATGACGCTACCATACAACTTAAAATAAATTAAAAATAACTTTATTTTCTAACTCAACATAAATTAACTCAATTAATTCTAACTAATCATTTTTAATTTACATTAAAAATTATTATTTGGTATGTTTTATTACCAAATTAATTTAATAAATATATCCTACTTAATCAACAAAAATTTAAAACTTGTATTTCCCCATAGATGGCACTAACTTCGAACACGTGTATTTGACGTTTGTTATCAAAAATGACCTATTTAGGTTAAGTTAAAAGTCTCAAAAGGACAAATCACTTATAATCAAAAAAAATTTCGGTGTAAAATGGATGGAATAGATGAAAGTAATTGGGATCCGTGTAATTTATTATTATCACCGGGTGAAAATGATAAATATGCGGTTTTAGTGTTAAATACACCTATAACATTGATTTTTAACACTGAGCAGGTGCTAAATTTATGGAATAAAGGTAATTTTATATATTAATTCAACAACGTAGTTTTAATTTACATTAATTCAGCTTTAATTCGAATCACCGTTGATGGTGGAACAGATAAATGGTTAGATTGGCTAAAACAAAACGATTTACATCAAAACACAATTAAAAATATCGATTTAATAACTGGCGATATGGATTCAATAAAACCGGAAACTTTAGAAGCTTTCAAAGAATCATCAACAATAATCATTAATACCTATGATCAAGAAGAAACCGATTTTACAAAAGCTATTTTAGAATTAAAATCAATTTCGTGCAAACTGAATTTAGATGTATGTTGATTTTTTTAAATCGCTTTTTATCTAGATCCAATTCAGATCGAATATGTTGTAGCTTTTAACAGTGTTTGTGGACGTTTTGATCAAGTTTTGGGTAATGTGAATACGCTTTATAAAATCAATCGGCTATGGCCTGAAATTCGAATTTTAATCGTTACCAACAGTATTACATGGTTGCTAAGTGTTGGACAACATCGGATTCAAATTCCAAGTAATTTGAAGAAATCACAAGAGTGGTGTGCCTTAATTCCAGTGGGAAATAAAACTTTTTTAACTACCAGTGGGTTAAAGTGGAATTTGGGTAAGATACTCACATTTTATAACCATTTTGATTGAGATGAATCAAAGAAACACAGTTAATTTGATTTGATGTGGATTTAAATCAGTCTTTTTATAGTTTTATGTATTAAGAAAAACCTGTTTTGTTCTGGATTGAATGGAAATGAAAGTTTTATTTATTTATTGTCTATTTTGTTTCATGTTTTAGATAATTCTCCATTGGAGTTTGGTTATTTAGTAAGTACATCGAATACTTATTCAACAAAAGAAGAAAATGTTGTTGTTTTAACCGATCAACCAATAGTTTGGTCGATGGGGATTAAAAATTTATTGGTGTAAAATGTTTTTAAATAATAATTTTCATGAAATTTATTGATTGTTAATATCTTTTTGGAATTTAAAATCTCCCAGTTGTTTTAGAATAATTTTTTTGTTACTTAATTAGCATATAATGTAGAGAGACATCCTTTTGATACATTTTTTTTATGTTTACCATTTTTGAATAAATAATTAATTTCAGATTGATTCTATTTTACTTCCTTTTGAATTTTATTAATTCACATTGACCAAAATACGTGACTTTCAAAAGTTTATAACTAACGAATTTATATGAACTAAGACACGATTCTTATATCAAATTAAAAAGGAGACTTTAAGCTTTAATTTGACGTATAAATCATCACTCAATTCGAATAAATACGGCTTAGATGAATGATTTAATTTTCGGTTAGATTTTGACATATTTGTACTTAGTTGAAAATCGCCACAACTTTCAAAAGTTTATAACTAACGAATTTATATGAACTAAGACACGATTCTTATATCAAATTAAAAAGGGGACTTTAAGCTTTAATTTGACACATAAATCATCACTCAATTCGAATAAATACGGTTTGGATGAATGATTTAATTTTCGGTTAGATTTTGACATATTTGTACTTACTTGAAAATCACCACAACTTTCAAAAGTTTATAACTAACGAAGTTATATGAACAAAGACACGATTCTTATATCAAATTAAAAAGGAGATTTCAAGCTTTAATTTGACGTGTAAATCATCACTCAATTCGAATAAATACGGTTTGGATGAATGATTTAATTTTCTGTTAGATTTTGACATATTTGTACTTAATTGAAAATCACCACAACTTTCAAAAGTTTATAACTAACGAAGTCATATGAACAAAGACACGATTCTTATATCAAATTAAAAAGGAGACTTTAAGCTTTAATTTGACGTATAAATCATCACTTTGTTCGAATCTGTATGAATAATTTAATTTTATTAGTTTGATTACTTGAAAATCATCACAACTTTGAAAAGTTTATAACTAACGAAGTTATATGAACAAAGACACGATTCTTATATCAAATTAAAAAGGAGATTTCAAGCTTTAATTTGACGTGTAAATCATCACTCAATTCGAATAAATACGGTTTGGATGAATGATTTAATTTTCTGTTAGATTTTGACATATTTGTACTTAATTGAAAATCACCACAACTTTCAAAAGTTTATAGCTAACGAAGTTATATGAACAAAGACACGATTCTTATATCAAATTAAAAAGGAGATTTCAAGCTTTAATTTGACATATAAATCATCACTTAGTTCGAATAAATACGATCTGGATGAGTTATTAAAATTTATAGTAATTTTGACAAATTTGAGATGATGCTAATTTTCATATCAGATTCTATCATAAATAAATAACATGTTCTTTTGCACTTCTGGAGTGTTTTATCTTTACTGATTTCGTTGTATTTTCATGGCCATCATCAGGATGCCTACAAAATGATTCAATTATTAAGACTTTAGCACGGATAATTCTAAAAATTGTTGTAGCATTAAATCGTAAACACGTGTAAACAAATTATAATTCATTAAATCGTGATTCCAACATAATTCATTTCTTTTTTTTTTATAAAAACTATAAAAATAAACATCATGGGTCATCAAGCAAATAAATGGTCAATAATTGAACATGTTCATGTATACATTGTAACTTCACATGGCAACAAAAGTTCATTTCACGCCAGACAGATAACTGATTGACCCAGTTCCGGTTAACTTTACTCGATCAAGAAAAATTTCAAAAGAAGAATGTTTAAATATTATTTTTTTCTTTTTTTAATGATACTTTTAGGTTGTTTTAACATAATTGAAGCACAAACGACTCAAAATTTAAATGTTAGTAAGTATTACGAAGAATGTTATCACTTAAAATTAAGGAAATATTTTCTTGAAAGTTTATGTAAACGAAGAAGACAACGATGTAGCTGATAAATCAATAGAAGTCGCGATGGATTACATAAAAAGAAACACCAAATTGGGGGTGAAAGTTGATTTGAGGAAAGTAACAGGAAATCGAACCGATTCAAAAGGACTATTAGATCTTTGTAAATCTTAAAAAAAAAATGGAACTAAATTTATTATTATTATTTTTTTTAGTGTGCAAAACTTATCAAACCATGTTAGATGAAAAATCCATCCCTCATTTCGTCTTAGATACAACAATGACAGGGATCGCATCTGAAACCGTAAAATCTTTCTCAAAAGCTTTACAAATCCCAACAATTTCCGGTTCGTACGGCCAAGAAGGTGATTCCCGTCTATGGCGATCGTTAGATGAAAAACAAGAAGAGTATTTAATTCAAATAATGCCACCAACTGACATGATCCCCGAAATAATCCGAACGATTGTAATTAATCAAAACATTTCAAACGCGGCGATTTTGTTCGATAATTCTTTCGTAATGGATCATAAATATAAATCGCTCCTTCAAAACGTTCCAACTCGGCACATAATCGCGCGTATTCAAGATGTTTCCACGTTAAAAGATCAATTACAAAATTTAAGAAAATTAGATATCGTTAATTATTTTGTGTTGGCTCGATTGGTTAACATCAAAAAAGTTTTAGATGCCGCCGATGCGATTAATTATTTCAACAGAAAGTTTGCCTGGCATGCGATTACTCAAGATAAAGGCGATTTAAAGTGTAATTGTAGAAACGCTACGATCATATTCGCGAAACCAACGTTGGATCCGAAATATCAAGATCGATTGGGGATTATTAAAACTTCTTATCAATTAACTTCCGAGCCGGAAATAACCGCCTTTTTTTATTTTGATTTGGCGCTACAAAGTTTTTTAGCAATTAAGTAAATATATTTTTATTAGTGGTGGAACGGATAGTTAACAAATAGTACTCCACNACACTCAATTCGAATAAATACGGCTTAGATGAATGATTTAATTTTCGGTTAGATTTTGACATATTTGTACTTAGTTGAAAATCACCACAACTTTCAAAAGTTTATAACTAACGAAGTTATATGAACAAAGACACGATTCTTATATCAAATTAAAAAGGAGACTTTAAACTTTAATTTGACGTATAAATCAACACTCAATTCGAATAAATACGGCTTAGATGAATGATTTAATTTTCGATTAGATTTTGACATATTTGTACTTAGTTGAAAATCGCCACAACTTTCAAAAGTTTATAACTAACGAAGTTATATGAACAAAGACACGATTCTTATATCAAATTAAAAAGGGGACTTTAAGCTTTAATTTAACGTATAAATCATTACTCAATTCGAATAAATACGGCTTAGATGAATGATTTAATTTTCGGTTAGATTTTGACATATTTGTACTTAGTTAAAAATCGCCTCAACTTTCAAAAGTTTATAACTAACGTATTTATATGAACTAAGACACGATTCTTATATCAAATTAAAAAGGAGACTTTAAGCTTTAATTTAACGTATAAATCATTACTCAATTCGAATAAATACGGTTTGGATAAATGATTTAATTTTCGGCTAGATTTTGACATATTTGTACTTAGTTGAAAATCACCACAACTTTCAAAAGTTTATAACTAACGAATTTATATGAACAAAGACACGATTTTTATATCAAATTAAAAAGGAGACTTTAAGCTTTAATTTGACGTATAAATCATCACTTTGTTCGAATCTGTATGAATAATTTAATTTTATTAGTTTNTTATTAGTGGTGGAACGGATAGTTAACAAATAGTACTCCACTATTCACAGGAATTAGTATCTCTTTTAGGTGTTGAACAGTGCAGATAATAATCAAGTTGAACCTCAATAGGACTTTTTTCATTGAATACAACTTTGTTTATATCAGGTTTGTCAATTTTCGATGTTGCAATTTTCATCGATAACTTTCAAAATTCGCTATAAAATTAATTCCTTGAAGGATCCTTGTGGAAATATCACCAATTATTAACTAAAGTATCCTCTTTTTAATGCAAAAAGCCGTTTTGAAAAATCGCTTTTAGTTTTTGAGAAATAAATTTTTGAAATGATCGACTATTTTTGCGAATTTTGCAATTTTTGCCGATTAAGTTTAAAAAATTCGTATAAAATCGATTTTTTGGAATATGAGTACGAAAATTTCCCAAAACGTTAATAAAAGTGTCCTCTTTCCAATGAACCAACCTGTTTTGACAAATAACTTTTAGTTTTTGAGAAAACAATATTTGAAGTTTTGATAAAATNGTTTATAACTAACGAAGTTATATGAACAAAGACACGATTCTTATATCAAATTAAAAAGGAGACTTTAAGCTTTAATTTGACGTATAAATCATCACTTTGTTCGAATCTGTATGAATAATTTAATTTTATTAGTTTGATTACTTGAAAATCATCACAACTTTGAAAAGTTTATAACTAACGAAGTTATATGAACAAAGACACGATTCTTATATCAAATTAAAAAGGAGATTTCAAGCTTTAATTTGACGTGTAAATCATCACTCAATTCGAATAAATACGGTTTGGATGAATGATTTAATTTTCTGTTAGATTTTGACATATTTGTACTTAATTGAAAATCACCACAACTTTCAAAAGTTTATAGCTAACGAAGTTATATGAACAAAGACACGATTCTTATATCAAATTAAAAAGGAGATTTCAAGCTTTAATTTGACATATAAATCATCACTTAGTTCGAATAAATACGATCTGGATGAGTTATTAAAATTTATAGTAATTTTGACAAATTTGAGATGTTGCTAATTTTCATATCAGATTCTATCATAAATAAATAACATGTTCTTTTGCACTTCTGGAGTGTTTTATCTTTACTGATTTCGTTGTATTTTCATGGCCATCATCAGGATGCCTACAAAATGATTCAATTATTAAGACTTTAGCACGGATAATTCTAAAAATTGTTGTAGCATTAAATCGTGAACACGTGTAAACAAATTATAATTCATTAAATCGTGATTCCAACATAATTCATTTCTTTTTCTTTTATAAAAACTATAAAAATAAACATCATGGGTCATCAAGCAAATAAATGGTCAATAATTGAACATGTTCATGTATACATTGTAACTTCACATGGCAACAAAAGTTCATTTCACGCCAGACAGATAACTGATTGACCCAGTTCCGGTTAACTTTACTCGATCAAGAAAAATTTCAAAAGAAGAATGTTTAAATATTATTTTTTTCTTTTTTTAATGATACTTTTAGGTTGTTTTAACATAATTGAAGCACAAACGACTCAAAATTTAAATGTTAGTAAGTATTACGAAGAATGTTATCACTTAAAATTAAGGAAATATTTTCTTGAAAGTTTATGTAAACGAAGAAGACAACGATGTAGCTGATAAATCAATAGAAGTCGCGATGGATTACATAAAAAGAAACACCAAATTGGGGGTGAAAGTTGATTTGAGGAAAGTAACAGGAAATCGAACCGATTCAAAAGGACTATTAGATCTTTGTAAATCTTAAAAAAAATGAAACTAAATTTATTATTATTATTATTTTTTAGTGTGCAAAACTTATCAAACCATGTTAGATGAAAAATCCATCCCTCATTTCGTCTTAGATACAACAATGACAGGGATCGCATCTGAAACCGTAAAATCTTTCTCAAAAGCTTTACAAATCCCAACAATTTCCGGTTCGTACGGCCAAGAAGGTGATTCCCGTCTATGGCGATCGTTAGATGAAAAACAAGAAGAGTATTTAATTCAAATAATGCCACCAACTGACATGATCCCCGAAATAATCCGAACGATTGTAATTAATCAAAACATTTCAAACGCGGCGATTTTATTCGATAATTCTTTCGTAATGGATCATAAATATAAATCGCTCCTTCAAAACGTTCCAACTCGGCACATAATCGCGCGTATTCAAGATGTTTCCACGTTAAAAGATCAATTACAAAATTTAAGAAAATTAGATATCGTTAATTATTTTGTGTTGGCTCGATTGGTTAACATCAAAAAAGTTTTAGATGCCGCCGATGCGATTAATTATTTCAACAGAAAGTTTGCCTGGCATGCGATTACTCAAGATAAAGGCGATTTAAAGTGTAATTGTAGAAACGCTACGATCATATTCGCGAAACCAACGTTGGATCCGAAATATCAAGATCGATTGGGGATTATTAAAACTTCTTATCAATTAACTTCCGAGCCGGAAATAACCGCCTTTTTTTATTTTGATTTGGCGCTACAAAGTTTTTTAGCAATTAAGTAAATATATTTTTATTAGTGGTGGAACGGATAGTTAACAAATAGTACTCCACCATTCACAGGAATTAGTATCTCTTTTAGGTGTTGAACAGTGCAGATAATAATCAAGTTGAACCTCAATAGGACTTTTTTCATTGAATACAACTTTGTTTATATCAGGTTTGTCAATTTTCGATGTTGCAATTTTCATCGATAACTTTCAAAATTCGCTATAAAATTAATTCCTTGAAGGATCCTTGTGGAAATATCACCAATTATTAACTAAAGTATCCTCTTTTTAATGCAAAAAGCCGTTTTGAAATATCGCTTTTAGTTTTTGAGAAATAAATTTTTGAAATGATCGACTATTTTTGCGAATTTTGCAATTTTCGCCGATTAAGTTTTAAAAATTCGTATAAAATCCATTTCTTGGAATATGAGTATGAAAATTTCCCAAAGTGTTAATAAAAGTGTCCTCTTTCCAATGAACCAACCCGTTTTGAAAAATAACTTTTAGTTTTTGAGAAAACAATATTTGAAGTTTTGATAAAATTTTCGATGTTGCAATTTTCATCGATAACTTTCAAAATTCGCTGTAAAATTAATTTCTTGAAGGAACCTTGTGGAAATATCACCAATTATTAATTAAAGTATCCTCTTTTTAATGCAAAGAGCCGTTTTGAAAAATGACTTTTAATTTTTGAGAAATAAATTTTTGAAATGATCGACTATTTTTGCGAATTTTGCAGTTATCACCGATTAAGTTTTAAAAATTCGTATAAAATCGATTTTTTGGAATATGAGTACGAAAATTTCCCAAAATGTTAATAAAAGTGTCCTCTTTCCAATGAACCAACCCGTTTTGCAATATAACTTTTAGTTTTTGAGAAAACAATATTTGAAGTTTTCATTGATAACATCCTCTTTTTAGAGTTGCTTCGTTAGTTAAATTAAGAAAAGTTCATTTTGTATCTTAGATCCAAATAAGTTGACACATCTTATCAGCTTTCTTATTAATTTCATTTTTATTCAAATATCGCAATAATCACTATTCGTTCCATCACTATTTTTTATTAATTTTATAAATATTAAATTTTTTTCGTATTCAAGAAACATGATTAACTCTGGTTCTTGGCCTTCCGACTTGAGTTTTATTACTTGCGATGATTTCGATGGAAAAAATTCGCCTGAAAGGCCCGATATGAATATAAAAAGCTTTTTTTATAAAGACTCAACTGAATCCCCGACTTATGGATTGATTACTTTGTCTCAAAATGGGCATAGTTTTATGGAGTTTAGCATGCAGTTATCATCGGTGGGTGTTCGAAGTGGCTCTTCGGATAAATCGGTTTTATTAGGTTCGTGGAAAGCTGGATTTAATAATAATTTATCGTTAATAGACGCGCAAGTTATGCAGAATTACACAGCTGATATAGTTTATCGTATTTCAACCGTAATTGTAAGATAACTTTTTTAATAATTTCTTTAATAAAGTTAGAATTCTTTTAGCAAGCTCCTTTTATAATTGAAGATCCGGATTCTCCAAAAGGATATTCCGGTTATTGTATCGACTTAATCAATGATATCGCGACTATTTTAAAATTTGATTATGAAATATATGTAGCTCCCGATGGAAAATTCGGAAATATGGACATAAAGGGTAATTGGAACGGGGTTGTTAAAGAATTAGTGGAGAAACGAGCCGATATCGGGTTAGGATCGATGTCCGTTATGGCTGAAAGAGAAAACGTAATCGATTTTACAGTTCCTTATTACGATTTAGTCGGAATTACTATTTTAATGAAACTCCCCACGACTCCAACGTCCCTATTCAAGTTCTTAACCGTTTTAGAAAATGATGTTTGGTTGTGTATTTTAGCTGCGTATTTTTTTACAAGCTTTTTAATGTGGGTTTTTGATCGTTGGAGTCCATACAGTTACCAAAACAACCGTGAGAAATACAAAGACGACGAAGAAAAGCGCGAATTTAATTTAAAAGAGTGCCTTTGGTTTTGCATGACGTCTTTAACGCCTCAAGGCGGTGGCGAAGCGCCGAAGAATCTTTCGGGGCGATTGGTAGCAGCAACTTGGTGGCTTTTCGGTTTTATCATAATCGCTTCATACACGGCTAATTTAGCCGCGTTTTTAACCGTTTCAAGATTGGATACTCCCGTCGAATCTTTAGATGATCTCTCTAAACAGTACAAAATCCAATATGCACCTTTAAATGGGACGTCTTCGATGACTTATTTCGATAGGATGGCTAATATCGAAGCTAAATTTTATGAGTAAATATTTTTCTTTGATTAAAATGTTTTGGTGATTATGTTTTTATGTAGCATTTGGAAAGATATGAGTTTAAATGATAGCCTTTCGGATGTTGAGCGAGCTCAGTTAGCTGTTTGGGATTACCCTGTAAGTGATAAATACACCAAGATGTGGCAAGCAATGAAAGAAGCTGGATTGCCGAATACGTTGGATGAAGCCGTGGAGAGAGTGCGCGAATCTAGGTCTTCTAGCGAAGGGTTTGCTTTTCTTGGGGATGCCACTGATATTCGATATTTGGAGCTAACTAATTGCGATCTTCAAATGGTTGGGGAAGAGTTTTCTAGGAAACCGTATGCGATTGCGGTTCAACAAGGATCTCCGTTAAAAGACCAATTTAACACGGCGTAATTAAAAAATCCTTTTTAGACCAATTCGATGTTTATTAATTTTTTTTAAGAATTCTTCAACTATTAAATCGTCGCCAATTGGAGCGATTAAAAGAAAAGTGGTGGACGAATAACCCCAAAGCGATGAAATGCGATAAATTAGATGATCAATCCGATGGAATTAGCATTCAAAACATCGGTGGTGTTTTTATAGTGATTTTCGTCGGGATTGGGTTGGCTTGTATCACTTTGGCGTTTGAGTATTGGTGGTATAAGTATCGAAAAGGTGCAAAAGTTATTACGGTTCAAGAAGTCGCCCCGCAAAACGTAACAAAAATGGTGAAGAAGTCGAAAAATGAGAATCTTTCGAGGAAGAGTAGTAAATTATATCCGAGATCAAGGTTTTAATTCTTTTTAGATTTATAAAATACACGAAACGTTTCGATGTTGGTGCACATGATCATTAATAAAAATTTAATTGGCACAAATTGTTTGGTTTTGATTTTCTATTTAAAAATTAATATCTCAAGAACTAAAAGATATTTTAAAACGATGTTTTTTTGCTTTATATGTGGTGATAATTTGATAATTATTTATGAAAAATTAAATTGAATCGAAAAAAGTTTAGTAGAGTAAAAAATGAGTAATTTAAAAAAATGATATCTTTAAAACTAAGTGATATTTTAAAAAACGGGGGTTTTCATTAAAAAGCTCATACTTTATTGTATTAATTCTGAAAATTTCTTATCAATGCGTTAAAAATTCGATTTTTGACGATTTTTTTAAAAATCAAAATTTCAAACAAAGATACAAGATGAAACAACTCAATTTGCAAAGTAATATCTCAAAAACCAAACGATATTTTAAAACGGGGGTTTCTTTATTGAAAAGCTCATACTTTTCTTTATAAGTACTGATAATTTCGTAACGATTCATAAAGAATTCAATTTTTTGTGATTTTTTTTAATGTTGAATCGTGATAAATGCTTACAGCAAAAAATTGGTAATTTAAAAAAATTA